AAAGAGAAATATATAGTATATATACAAAATAAAGAGATAATCTCATTTTTGAAATCCTAAACAAATTAAAACTAGAAATCCTTTAATTGTAAATCAAATCTCTAATAGAAGAGTGATATCTCATCCTTGAAACCCTAAACACCAAATTAAAACTAGAAATCATTAAATTGTAAATCAAATCTCTAATAGAAGAGTGATAATTCATTCTTGAAACCCTAAACACCAAATTAAAACTATAAATCATTTAATTGTAAATCAAATCTCTAATAGAAGAGTGAGAACTAAAAAAAAAAATTCTTTAATTGTAAATGGTCTGAACCTAAGCTTGCCTAGGTCCTCACCCTCTTAAAAACTTGGGTGCCCTTGGGCCCAAACCCTAATCCCAAACTTGACTTATTTAAACTCCAATTGGTTTCATCTTATTTTCAATGTGGGACAAACACTTCCCACATTTTGCCTAGGTCCTCACCCTCTTTAAAACTTGGGTGCCTTTGGGCCCAAACCCTAATCCCAAACTTGACTTATATAAACTCCAATTGGTTTTATCTTATTTTCAATGTGGGACAGGCATTTCCCACATTTTGCATACCCATTTAAGCTTATCAAGCACCTTACTTTGGAGCTAATTCCTCATTCACTCGGAAACAGATTTGAGAAAGTAAATATACCACGTTCATCTCCTTACGGAGAGAAACTTGTTCGTCTATAGATCCGCAAAAAATTCTTATCAAAACCTACTCCAAATTTCATCAAAAGTTTCTATTTTATATGTCCTGTTTCCAAGACAACTTTGGTTTGAGATAACAATAATCTTGAGATTCAATGACTTGGCGTGCTACTAGAGTTTTGTTATGACTCAAGGGTTGTACTATTGAGATTTGATGACCTGACATGGTGTTAGGGTTTTGTTTAGACTTAAGGGTTTTCCTTGACCATAAGAGTTTATTTTTTTGAGGTTTGATGATCTAGTATGACACCAAGATTTTTTTGTTTGACTTTTCAAAGAGGAACGTAGGTGCCAACATAGGTTATGATAAGGGGCCATGTATAACTTTTCAATGTGCCTTAGCTAACACCAAGTGACACCACAATTACTAAATTTAAATCTTCGAAGCATGATTAACTTCAATTAGTCTTCGATAAACTAAGCTTACACACATTAAATTGTTTATATATTTTATGGGTCGACTAACTTGCATTTCAGAAAGCAAAAACACTTCTACAAAGGAGCCGTACCCATGTTATGTCCGTGTTGGGTACCGACAAATGTCCAACAATTTATATACTTGTATAAATAAAAATAAAATTTTATTATTTTGGACAGTTTACTGATATTTTTCAACACTTAAGCAGGCTGATACTTTAGACATTTCTAACTTTTGGAAATATAAAAAAGAGAGTATTGAACTCTATATTGTATTGATGTGTATGAGATATGTAATGCAAGAGTACGTGGAGGTCTATATAGGAAAGGTCATGTGTGAAAAGTTAGTCATTACCATATAAGGTAATGCTATATATGGTAATGAGGATAGGTTAAGACAACTACCATATAAGGTAATGCTATATATGGTAATATTATATTATAAAATATATTCTAACAATACAAGGTAATAATATATTATAGAATATATTCTAACTGCCCCCCTCAAAGTCAAGGTGGATTATATGAATCCATCTTGAGTTTGAAGATAATCCTTCCACCTTGATGTAGCTGATGTGACACTGATGTTAATGATGACATGGCAACTGAAGTGGCAAGTGACTTGGCACTACTGCTGGCACCTTTGTTGCGTGGCAACTAACATGGCAGGTGACGTGGCACAACTATTGGCACCGTTACAGAATGTGTCTGATGTTGCACCAATGCTGACATGTCAGGTGACGTAGGGTGGATCTGTGAAGATCTTGGAAGTAGGTGCGAAGTGTGAATAGGTTGACGTTGTCATCCCCGATGGTAACTACTATAAACTGATAGGTGATGAATTTGTGAAGATTCACCACGTTGAAGGAGCGTGTGAGCACATGATGACCACTTGTGACGCAGTGACAGACCTAATCCGACACGTTGAGGTGCGGGATTACTGTTAGTGCGCGTAAAAGTGCATAAAAGAATGAGATTACCACTTAAGGTGCATAGTGGCGCGGTGACGGAGCTGATCCGACACGTTGAGCATATCTAAACGAGACATCCCGTTAAACAACTAGGTTTTCGTATACAGGGCATCTCTAGACGGAGCTTCTCTAAACGAGGCATCTTGTTGGGTTTCCCGAAGGAAGACTAAGACAACGAGACTTCCTTGGACAGGGCATATAAAGATCTTAGAGTGCGGAAGCGTGTTGGTTGACCACCGCTGCCGAGGATGACGCTAATAGTGCCATCCCCGACGGTTACTACGATAAACTGGTAGATTACTTAACAGAAATTGAAAGGCTCTAATACCATGTTAGAAATATAAAAGAGAGAGTATTGAATTCTGTATTGTATTGATGTATAAGATATGTAATACAAGAGTACATGGAAGTTTATACATGAGAGGTCATGTGTGGAGAGCTAGTTATTACCAACTTATATAGTAGCGAGGATAGGTTAAGACAACCACCATATAAGGTAATGCTATATATGGTAATGTTATATCATAGAATATATTTTAACAATGCATGGTAACAATATATTATAGATTATATTCTAACATAATCTTGAAATAACATGAACACATTCTAAAGTATTCAACTTTTTTCTATAAGAAAAATTGGCATTATTTATATGACCACGAAGCATAAAATAATACTTGTTCATTTACAATAAAAACACTATTATGACAAAGTAGTGAAATAACCATATATTTAATATAAAAATTATTAAAATAATAACATAATTAAAATTTTAAATCATTTCAGAGCAATTCTTAGCATAGAAATTAGAAATAAATTAAAGATTTATAATACTATTTTATATTTATATATATTCGTGTTTTATCATGTTTGCATCTATGTTTAATGCTCAGATAGCGACATTTAACATTTTTTTTTATACTTCATTGAAAATTTTGTTACCAAACATAGCTTCAAATGAGTTTACACAAATGTTTTTAGTGTGTTGAATAAGACAAAGTACTAGATTGTACAGAACTCTAAGTAAATTAATAAATGTTCTTTGAGAAACTACTAAACATGTTAGTTCTTAAACACTCTAGAAGGAAGTACCACTTTAAGCATAAAATTTTATTCCACTTAGAGCTCATTAAATATATGAATGAATATTGTATTAAGTATGGGATACAACAAGGTTTTATATAAGAGATGTTTTGTACGGAGAGCAAGTAAATCCTATATGGTAATATTATACATAGTTCAAGGGTAGGTGAAGACGACTAACCCCAACACTAACAACACGATTCATAGCGAGGACACAATAGCATTAATCAACTGATAAAATTTTCTTTTACACTATTGCCCCCAAATGGGTGCCCCATTGATTTTTTTTTTATTTTTTTATTTTTATTTTTTTGTATTTTACCCTAATATTTTTTGGAAATTATATATATATACCCATAAAATAATACTATTATCCCTCTAAAATTAGTAAACCCTCCCTTCAATCATGTCTCGATCGTATAACTGATATGTGGTTCTTATTAGTACGATTCAATAGTGAGGATGCGAGTTCAGTGATAACGCTCTTACCATACCATAACAATGGTCTTCGTCTACTAGAAAAAAAAAAAAGAAAAAAGAAAAAAAGAAAAAAAGAAGAAGAGAGACCTAAAATTTGTTTGCTTTTCAATTATCTGTTTTTGAAGAAACGAAATTAAAAAAAATCATCAAAAACTAGTTTGATTATAATTTCATGAAAAATTAGTTATATATATATTTTAAAAGAACTATTTTTTAAATTTATAAAGAACATTTCAATAACAATTATTAATGTGATAATCATTAATAAAAACATTATATAGAGTATAGTTTATCAATTTGAGACAAAGAGTTCTTGTTGAATTCTATGGATTTGTATTAGGGATGCAACTTGGGCTAGACAACCCGAGCCCAACTTAATTTTTTTGCAAACTTGTGCAAATATTTTTATAATTAGAATTGGGCTTGAAAAATCTCGTCGAATTTAATTAGGTTTGAACTTAGGTTGATGTATTGGTAAATCGAGTCAATTCGAATCTCAATTTTGATATTATTTTCATAAATATATTTTTATATAATATTCAAATTATGATTATCCTTTTTTTTCGACTTTGTTTAAATATTAATTTATTATACGTTGACACTTTGGAGAATTAACTATTTAAGAATTTGTTTGTAATTTATTAAATTTTTGTAATAAATTTTTTACACCTTTTGCATTTAGGAGTAATTTAATGTTGAAAGTAAATGAAGACCGTATTAAATTTTTAGTACAGAGATTAAATATATCAATAACCCAAATTAACTTGATTTTTAATCTAAAATATTAACTTAAATTGCAAACTCGAGTTTAAAAATAGAAGAACAAGTTAGTCTTAAGTTGAGTGCGAATTAAAATTAAATTAAGGCTCCATTTGTTTGTATGTAAAATATTTTTCAGAAATTTTTTAGTGTTTGATTGTGGTGAAATAAAATTAAAATATAACAAAAATAACTTAAAAAATAAAATTAAAATATACCCTGCAAAATCGATTTCAAAAAATAAAAATTAAAAAAATATTTTACATTGAAAAAAAAAAAATTAGTCTGATCCTGCGATATAGTTAAACATCTTATAGTTGGGATTTGACTCAATGTCCACCCGCGAGATGCATACAGTAGTAGTCCATAATATTTTGTACAAAACGTTACCGACTTAAACTCATCGCAGCTATAGTACAATTTACAGGTCACTCTAAACGAACGGCCGTGATCTATGCCACGTAATATCCAACATAAATTCAGAGGTCTTCTTTCCTCCAACGCCGAATATTCCAAGCCACCAATTTGAATAATTCTCTTTTGCAGCGTCAAAACCCCCATTTACTGCCTTCTCAATTTGAGTCCTCTCGTTCGTTTCTCCAGCCCGACCATTCCTTTCTCTCTCTAGACTCTCCGTATCCATATATCTATTTTAGCCTGTAATCTAGAGAGAGATTTCTTTCTTTCTATAGTTCTTCAGATCTTTAATGGATACATCATCATCATCCTTCTCCAATTCAACTCCATTTCATCTTCTCCCTTCCATTCAATCTCATCTCTTCCTTTCTCAGTCTTTTCACCGTCCCAATTGTAGTCAACTTTGTACCTTATTTTGACCATACCGATCAGGAGCTGTCATCAATGGGTAAACGTAAGTCATATATACATACATATATACATACATACATATATATATATATATATATGTCAATTTATGTACATATGTGTGTATATGTTTCTGGTAATTCTAGGGTTTCTGTATTTCTCTAATTAGGGTTTTAATGTGTCGCTTGATTTAAGCTCTATGCTTATTCAAATATCTTAATGTTGTAATTCATCTTTAACTGTAAAATCCTTAAGTATCCGAAAGTTTGCTCAATTTGTGGAAGAAGGTTTTTTTTTTTTTTTTTGTTTCATTTAATTTTTTTTTTCCTGGTCACGTTTTATTTGAATGGAGGTGGAATTATTGAATTTTGTAGGTAATTCTCAACGTAAGAACGCTGCGATGTTGGATTTTGATGACGATGATAGTGCGAGTTCGTCATCGACTGTACCGTCTGAAAATATGCAGGTCTCGGGTGCTGAAGAAGTGCAGCCTGATAAAGAGGCTTTACTTGATCAATCTCTAGATGCTTTATATGAGAAAAGGTAGTTAATTTAAGTTGAGTCAGTTATGTTTGCTGATATGTGTTGTTGCATTGATTATAGTGCTATTTAAAGTAACAAAACCTGAAATGATATGCACTTTGCAAACTTTTGGGGTTGGTAATGCTTTATATGAGAAAAGGTAGCTAATTTTAGTTGAATCGGTTATGTTTGCTTTTGCATTGATTATAGTGCTATTTACAGTAACAATACCAGAAATTATATGAAATTTGTAAACTTTTGGGTTTAGCAACATTGACAGACAGGTAATTAAGAAGTGAGACTTCTAGTCTTTATTGCTGGATGCTAATGCTGATTTATTTATTTGGTTTATGAAGGGGTTCCACAAGAGAGAATGCTCTGTCAGCAATTATAGAGGCTTTTAATAGCAATTTACAGAACGAGTTCGTAGAAAAGAAGTGAGCACTTTTACGCTGTTTCAATCTTATTTTGTATTATTCTGTTTACAAGTTATGTTAGTGTGATTTGGGAGCTTCTGGAGAACCTAAAACAGTGTGTCAAGCTTATTTTGTTTTGATTTATGTAACTTACCAGATATTAGAGGCTGTTTGTTAGCTCGTGTGTTTTTAGTTCCGAACTAGTTGTCAGAAGCCCCTTAGGTCCTTGAAAGCTCTCAGCTGATGGGTCTCATCCAAGGCGTGTGACTTTTTAGCCCAACAAAAAATTCAATAAAATTTTCTTGTTTTATATAATGCAATCATCTCATTTTCTTTTCCTTTTTCTTAATGGCTGTAAATTGTTTTGCTCTCTATCATCATATTCTGGTCATATTTGTTTGCTCATATTCGTTAATATACCGGTGTTGTATTTTGGAATTCATAAGCTTGTGGTGAACCATTCACAGAAATATATCTAGTGCTTGATTCTAAATATTTATTATGATGCAACATTTGTTTAAAATTTGTATGATTGCAACATGTTATATTGCACATTCTAGTGGTATTTGATTTAGTTGATGCATTTGCATTTTGGAAGGATATATTTAGCTGACTCTCTTAGTTGACATGATAAAAATGCCATTTTTTTGTAATTTTTTTACTAGCTTATTATATTTTGAATTGTTCAAATGTACATTGCACATTCTAGTGGTATTTGATTTAGTTGATGCATTTGCATTTTGGAAGGATATATTTAGCTGACTCTTTTAGTTGACATGATAAGAATGCCATTTTTTTTGTAATTTTTTTACTAGCTTATTATATTTTGAATTGTTCAATTGTACATTGATTTCAATGAAAGCATATGTTAATTAACATGGCGTGTTCATCTTGAATCAGCTAACAAATTAATCAATTTGCTGAAAATTCCCTGAATGTAATGATGACTAATTTTTATTACATATTTTTAAAAACTTGAATTATTACTTTATTTAGTTTCCATATGCACTTTAATTCACTCAGGTTCATGCCTTAGTTTGGCTTGCACTTGTGCTCAAGGTGACCTTGGTGCCTTAGTCGGCCTTAAGTGATCTAGTGAAGGAAACTTTGCACAAGCAATCTGAATAAACTTCTGTTAAAGATGAATGCGATGTAACCACAATTGTTTCCATGCTTCCAATTTGAATATGTTCTTTAACTTTTTAGCATTCTTCATTACCATAATTATGATTCACTAATTTTTTTTTTCAGAAGTTATGATTCATTAAGTTGGTTCAAATGAAAAAAAAATATTATTGAGTTGCAATTTTTTTATTCAGGCTTGTAAAGTTACAGTCATGAATGTATATGGTTCTCATTGTGATATGGTGTTATTTTCTTTAGGTTTGTGACATTACTGCATCAATGTGTAAATTCCATCAAGCGTGGGTCTGCCAGAGAGATATCTTTAGCATCTCATGCCGTTGGTTAGTTTTTAACCCTTCTTGTAACAAGTTGCTCTTATTGTTTAATTTTGATAATTTTCATGTGTTGTGGTTTCCTGGGTAGGATTGTTGGCTCTGACAACTGGTCCTGGGGATAAAGCTCAAGAAATATTGGAAGAATCTGTCCTTCCTATTTCACAAGCTTTGAAGTCTCGGCATGAAACATCAAAGATATCATCTGTACGTATGATTACCATGCTTTAGTTACATCATGATTTAATTGGTGTTTTGGTTCCTGCAAGCTGTACTTATTTGCAATCGCTTATTTTATGGACACTGAATTTATTATTGTAGTTACTGGAGTGTTTGGCTATTATCACTTTTGTTGGGGGAAATGAGCTAGAGGAAACCGAAAAATCAATGCAAATGATTTGGCAAGTGGTTCATCCAAAACTAGGTTCCAATGTATGTATACACATTAGATTCATTTTTCTTTCCTTTCTTTTCCTTTTTTTTTTTTTTTGGTTGTTTGTACGCATCTGATCATGGCATCATGATGTGTTACACATGTTTGTGTTTGTATTTGGTTTACAAATTGACCCATTATGCATATGATATGCCATATATCTTCTTTTTTATTGATGTCTTGGCCTGCTAATTGACCTGTTAAATGCTCTTTTTTTATATACAAAATAATAATAATAATAATATTACTTTTTGCTGGTTGAGATCAATGAAAATCCATGACCATGCTTTTCATCTCTCCTAGTGTTGCATTGATATGTAATGCTGTTAGTCTTGATGCACATGTAAATTGATTTCATGGTGGTGGTTGTTGAACTATGTATGGAAAGCTAATGCTATTTCACTTCCAGGTAGTTGCCACTAAACCTTCACCTGCTATAATTACAACAGTGGTGTCTGCTTGGTCGTTTCTTCTTACAACTATGGATGGAAGGACACTTGATCCTAAAAATTGGCAAGAGTGAGTAAATATTGTTTGTAGCATCAGTTCTCTCTCTCTCTCTCTCTCGTGTGTGTGCATGCGCTCGTGACACACACACAGGGCATTTTGGGCACTGTTGAACACATATTTACATATGATTAATTCCTTGAGGGGGTGTTCTCACTATAACCATACTGGGTATAAGGTACTTTAGGATTTAAACCTTGATGCAATCTCTGCAGAGGGGGCACAATGGATTCCATTGGACTTCAAAGCCAATGGTTGGTGTGAGGCATATTTAATGAGAAAGAAACTTACTTTTTGAGCAAATGATGCAGGTCAATTTCTTATTTTTCTAGTCTGCTAGACAAGGAAGATAGATCTGTACGCATTGCAGCTGGTGAAGCACTTGCTTTAATTTTTGAGATAGGAAACTTGGAGAAGTTCTCTGGTGAAGCTAAAGGTCCTAAAGACAGCTCCGGTCATGAAGGAAATAAAACTCGGGAATTTGCACACATACAGGGATTAAGGGCAAAAATTGTAAATCAAGTAAGAAGCCTTTCTGTAGAGGCAGGTGGCAAAGGTTCTGCTAAGAAGGATCTTAACAGTCAACGGAACTCATTTCGCGATATACTGGAATTTCTTGAGGTATTGCTTCATTAGTTTCAAAATGTGTGCTTCTGATTCTGTATGTTGGTTGTAATAGTGATGTAACTTTGTACAATTATCAGGATGGTTATAGTCCAGAAACCTCAATGAAGATTGGTGGAGAGTCACTACGCACAACAACGTGGTGTCAACTGATACAGGTTCCTCCTTTGCTTCATCCATCAGGTTTTTTAGTATGAAAGCCCACACTTCAAGGTTTTCTAATATCAGTTTTATGACAGTTGAATTTTTTGAAGCATTTTCTTGGGGGAGGATTTGTTAAGCACATGCAGGTTCTTTTTCTTTCCCGTGTTTTCTTAGGATGAACTTATAAAATATTTTTTTAACTGCTAGACTGCTAGTATGTTCCTTTTTTTCAATTACTCTTTTTTTTAATCAAACAGGAAAATGAATTTCTTCATGAGGTTTTTGGTTTCAACCCTAAGAAAAAGCATTCTTCTGAAACTGATCCTCGCGTATCTAGCATTGAAAAGGTTTGTTTTATTTCCATGCAAGTTTTATGCTTATTAGTTTTTATTTATTTATTATTTTGGTTTGAATATGTTGCATATCAATGCAGTCCCATATTGTTGGTAATTGATATTTTGACATTTACTGTACCCGTTTCCTTTATGACATGATGCGGATATGGGTACAAAATGTGAGTTTGACACAGCAGTTTTGTCGGCACTCAAAAGATACAATTAGCAGATACATGTAGAGATCCCTAAACACGTACTCAACATTCAGGATTCCAGGGTCATTTTAATCATGGTTTGAACTTTGAACCAGGTGCATGTCTGTTTGTGTTCATCCTGGTTTGTATTTGCATTTAGGGTAAAGTGCAAAAAAAAAAAAAAAAACCCCTCGCTGCATAGAAAACGTGCAAGAATAACCCTGCTAGTTAGTATGTGCATGTAAACCCCTGTATTTTCAAAGAGAAAGTATATATCGAGTCAGAAATTTAAAAAACCCAAAATGACCCTTTTATGAGACAAAAATGCCCTTGCAAAGTTCTATCTATATATGAACGCACGAGGCCTTGTTTGGTTGCCATATCTATCCAATCTCTCTCTCCCTCTACGTAGCTGTTTGTTTGCTCAGAAAATTGAGGACAAAAAAAAAAAAAAAAATTAATCGGTTTGTTTCCCCGAAAAGGCCAAAAATTCTTAATAATAAAGAATGAAATAGCTTTCGTGAAAGCAATGAATTTTCCGTTATTGGCAAAACTCTATGTACCTTGAAACCAATGAATTTTTGGTTCCTCTCTCCCTCTTAAAGCATCAGCATCAAAGATATATCATCAAAAGGGTACAATTGGAGAATACGAATCAAAGATACATCCATCAGAAGGCATTTGCGCATGGCAATTGTTCGTCGTCTTCTTCCTCCTATCTCTGTCCATTTATGTATCTCAACAGATGGGTAGGCAGCCAGAAGCATTGTGTTGGGTCCCAGGGAAGGCTTCTCTATATGTGTATGTGTGTTTGTGTACACTTTGCATGCCGTTCCAACTTACATATTCATTGGCTCATTTGTGTGGTGCCTTACCGTTATAAAGAGGAATCCCAGGTGTTTGGGACATAAAAACCATCAAAATCTGCATCAATATATATATTCACACACTTTGCTTCCACTAAACTGATTTGGCTTCGTATGTTATTATAGGATTTGATATTCTTATGGGTCAGTGTATGTGTATGAGAAGAGAAGAGAAGAGAAGAGAGATTTTGTAGAGAGAGAGAGAGAGAGAGAGAGATTGTGAGAGAAATCGGAGAGAGAGGAATCACAGACATTTTGCTTCTTCAATATTTTATTTTTTGTTTTGTATAAGGGCATTTTAGGCATATCAGTCTTTAAATTGACAAAATGTCCTTATTTGGTCATTTTGAAAAATATAGGGGTTTTTTTTGAACACTTGGGGGGTATTTGCACATTCTGTATATAACAGCATTTTTTTTTTTTTTTTTGCTCTTTACCCTTGCATTTATATCGTTTGCAAAATTAAGTGAATTCATGAGAATTTGGCTAGCTCACCCAACTTGCATTTGGGGCTTTTAGGGTTTTGATGGACGTGCTTTACAAATCAAACTAGGTATTTCTTATTATGCTTTGCCAATGGGCCCAATTCCATGCCAATTTAGTGTCTTTAAATGTTGAAGGGCTGAAGTGGCTAACAATTGAGCAATCCTAACAAACAATGCCAATTGTTTTATCCTCAGGATTTGCATATATCATTGCTGCATTGCATCTATATTTATGCGCATATATATATGCACATATATTTCTTACAGGATTTAATATTTCTTTGGATCTGCTTCCAAGTGGGTTTTCTTTCATCATTCCCATATTTTCTTTTTTGAAAAGAACTGTGATTCTATCTTTCATGCAGAGGTTGTACAAGTCACCAAACTCGGTCCTCAACAAGGCAAGGACTCAATTGCTGAACAAGCAACGAATGATATCCCGGGTATATATTCTTCTTGATGGATGAAGTCATGCTTTGTCATTTACATGCAGTTTATTGTAGTAGTTCAATGTACTGTTGAAATCATTCTTTGTCATTTAGAAGCAGTTAATTGCATTAGTTCAATTTACTGCTGAAGAGGATAACTATATTAATCAAGTTTATCTATAAAATCTTACAGTTTTCATGGTATTAAAGGATTGGTGTATACAATGTTGAAGACCCCTTTAAGATGTTTTATGCTTCCCCTATCCTTGGTACCTTCTTTCAATTGTCCGCTGTGGGAACTAGGAGGAGGGGAACCGTCCATAAGCAAGTCAATAGATTGTGTTTCTTACGGTCTTTATCTATATTACATTGAGTTGGATCAATTGAGATATTTTACCCCACATTACACGATTAAAGATGCTGTCTGAGCTGGGCCGATGTGTAGAGAGCCTTACTTGCCATTCCGACATGGTCATATGGTCATATGGACATAACAGTCAAACTCAAGTTATAGTTTAGGCAAAGTTTAAAATCACTTTGGCAAGTCCTAAGATTTTACCATAGTAAATCCATTATGATGACATGACATGCACTGGTGTTGAGACTGTCGACTTCCCATTTATGAATACATGTATGCTGATGTTTTGTTTGTGTGCAGGATAAGAACACCGGTCACTACGCAGTTGGTTTTGGTGGAGAGGAAGCCCTAGAGGTGGCTTAGACTGGGAGTTTTCTGAAATATTAGCTCAACTTTATAAACCAAATGGTGCTGTGAACAAGTCATTTTGATGAAGTTAAGGGCTACGCACAAATGGATCAACTGTGTTTTCGACAGTTATTCTCTCTTTCGTTATCAAGGGCATTCATATGACAAACTTGATGTTTTTTACTACAAGAGGTGGCGCATTGGTCTACATTTGGTATACTTACTGTGCTAAAATGTTAACCAATTGTAATTCATTGATTCATAGGGCTCCCAAACATTTTTTTTTCCGGTCATGGTTACAAATAAACTCATCTTTATATTTTGTTTTGTTAATTTTCATAAAGAACCGCCAAAAATTTACATTTTAGCATAAGGTAATGTGGGAGACATCATGAGCCGGGTAATTAGCAGTTGGAATATGTGATTTAGCCACTCTCAAAAGAACATTATGAATAAGAAGGAAAAAAAAGTAAATGAACATTTTATGAGTTTTTGGTATGTTTGTTTGGATGGATGGGTTTAGAATGAAAAGATGTGAGTTTAAAATATTTGGAATGTAAAGTGGATTATTTTGTTGGTCTAGCTGTCAAAGGTTTCCTTGCATGTTGTCATCTAAATGCACACAGTTATGGTTCTCAAATTAATGGATACATTTTGTTGGAACCTAAATTTTTAGTACACATGATGAATAAATAAAATTTAAATCGGTTCATTTTGAATCTTTCAATTCTTTTTTTCGATCTTGGCAAATAAAGCATAAGTCAATAGGCTAGTTTCAAGGGGACTTCAAGTTTTCATTTTTTTTTTTTTTTCAGACTGTTAAACCAAATCAAAAAGGCTTATTTATTTATTTATTATTAATTTTTTTTTAAACAGACTTACATAGACCATTCGTACATACGGATGGGGCCCAGTATAATCATGCTCATACTGCACTATAAGTCACTCAAAGAAAATAGCATGTTCTAGAAGCTCGTTACATGACGACAACGCCACAAATTCTTAACCTAATGTTTGACTTTGATGTTCTTTTTTGATACAAAACAGTACAACGCAAATCTCAAGAACGTCAAATAGTTGTCAGAGTCGGAATCAAATACTACGGTTACGTCGGATGGTCGCCGGAATCGGAATCAAATAGTACGGCTAGTTTTCGGGCAATAAAAAAAGGCATTTGAAGATTCATTGTCAACGTCCTAAACGATTTCTCTCTTTTTTATTTAAGGTTTTGGTGCATTAAACTCCCCTCTAATCTCTAAACACACAAGTTCTTTAAAATCAATTTAAAAAGCGTATATTGGACATTTGCAATTAGGAGGTTTAGTGCACCAACACCTTTATTTAATAATGCTGACATGGAATTTTCCGAACAAGTGAAGAACTAAGATACTTTTTGGGTGACTTCTTATTTAAGAATCTATTTTGGAAAACAAATAATATTATTAAAACTCTCCCTCTCTATCTCATATTAAATGTTTCTTTAGGAGAGTAGAATTTAAAAAATAGAACATGCAATTAATGTATTATTTCCTTTAGAACTTATTAAATTATTCTTATAAGTTTAAATATATATATATATATATACACTCTTATAAGTTTAAATATATATATAAGGTAAAATGCAAAAAAAACCCCTTCAACTATTGGCCACGTGTAATTAATCCCCTGAATTACAATTTGCTCCCTTGAACTATTAAATTTGGTGCAATTAACCCCAAATGTGACATCTCTAGCCAATTGGTGAAAGTAGAAATAGTAAAAGAAAATTTTACCCCTTATAAAAACTGCGCCGTTTCAGTTAAATTATCAGCGACAAAAACCATGGTCGGAGGCACGGATTTGGTGACGGAAGATCAGTCGCCGGAGAGAGATGGTGGCAGATTGAGAACGTGGTGATCGGTGAGGATGACGTAAAGAAGGAATTACAGTTCATGAAGTAGATACATATTCTTTCACACCTCATTTACAAATGAAATATATATATATATATATATATACATCCAGCCACAAATCAATTGAGGAAGATGGGGAATGAGAAATTTAGGGAAGATATACATAGAAGGGCATTATGGTGGCTGATCGAGGAAGTTTAGCCTTTGTTTGTCTCTTCCTCTTTATTGCAGTAAAACATGAAGAAGATTAAATTTCTCAGGCAAAAATGCTCTTAAATAGCCTATAATGTTAGAAGTGTTGGAAACAAATATTGAGCCTCATAAAACTAAAACAGAAACAAGTAAATGTGGTTATAACTTCAAACATTGAAAATCTGGAAGGAATCAATGACAGTGTGCAATTTGTCTTTCATCTTCTCCCATCTCCTCTCGTTGGCCCCTGTTGACACTCTGTAAAACTTCCCTGCGGCGAAAGAAGGCAATCTCAGTGAGAAAGCATATATATATATATATATATATATATATATATATATATATATATATATCGCCTCTATCAGCCAACCCACCACCGGAATAGTCATCGAACCCCACCATCCTTATCGCCCCTGCTCGTCGCCGGATAGATGACTATTACAGCCGTTGTTCTTCAATTTTTTCACACCCAGTTCAAAGCCGTCCTCTCCGTCATCTGTTGCTCTCCGCCGCCGGTAACATCAGACCCACCTCTTACCGGTTCCTTCCTTTGCCGCCTTGCCAACTCGCCGACCAACTCTCTGGTCCTCACACGCAACCAATCTCTGGTCCTTCACTTCACCGGACATCGAGAAATCCCCATGGTCGCCGTTCTTAAACTTATCGAGAAATCCCCATGGTCTCTGGTCCTCCACTCTTCTCTGACCTTTTCTTCTTCTTCTTCTATTAGGACATCGCCTCCTTTAGCAGCTTCATTCTCCGCAGTTTTCTTCTTTTCACCCTCGAGAGCCATTTTAGAGAGAGAAAAAAGTGATATGACTTATGAGAGTTAACCAGGAGAGAAAGTGTGGGGTTAAAGAGACAAAAGAGGCATTATGACCTATCATGTGCGTCTGTACGGTCAAATTCAATCGGCTTTACCACTGGACATGATTAATTGCACCAAATTAGTTATTTCCAGGGGGTTATATGTTAAATTAGTAAATAGGAGGGTTTTCTGTTACATAACTAATAGTTGAAGGAGTTTTTTTGTACTTTACCTTATATATATATATATATATATATATATATATATATATATATTGATAATTTAGAACTCCTTGAGGCAGGCCCTTCATATATTTTGTTTAAACCTAATAAGTGGATAAAAATGTTGGGACATTTTGAATGGACAACTAAATGAGAGTAATAATTAGCAACCAGTGGTCTGGGTAACTTTTTTTTTGTTATTATTTTATTGACTTTCCAAGTATGAGCTGGAGTAGCTCAGTTGGTTAGAGCGTGTGGCTGTTAACCACAAGGTTGAAGGTTCAACCCCTTCCTCTAGCGATTTCTGCCTTCTTATTTTTTTTTAGTTACAAACAGTGCTTAGTATTTTAAGACTTTTTTTTCTTTTTCTTTTTTCTCGTAGTAGCCTTTTGAGACTACCAAAACTAAAATTTTTCCACAAACTCATTTTCCAGACTTGAAGCTAATGATTTAGACGATAATAATAATCGGCTCACAGAAAATAAATTATAATTCATATAAACTTAAAAACATATATATATTTTTGGGAGGTGATATCGGTAGGCGTTATAGGCGCTACAACCAAGTGAATTAAAAAGCAGGAATGAGAAAGCAACAAAATTAAATTATAAATAGTGAAAATAGAAGCGAGAGATTGCGCAAAGCGTGCTTAGAGCGGTATAACTTGAGCTACAACTCCTTTTAGTAAACCAAATGACTAAATTACACTTCTCTCTTCTATCTTACAACTTAGTTTTCATAAAAATATACATATGCATACATATTAGCATTTTTGTGTGCATCTTTATTTAGTTTTCTTCTTTAATTAAATTTCTCGCACGAAAACAAAGTCCTCACATTACAACTCAAGATTTAAAAATTCGCAGCCAACAATAACCATCCAACAAGGTTATTTACCCAAAGTAGTAATAATAATAACAGCATTGCATTAATTACAATTATCAAATTGCATTAATTACAATTATCAAAATTCACTACTAAGAGATCATAATTAATCATTCAATTCAAATAGCATATGGGTTTGTAGATTTGCAAGGCATGGTTTCCAAAGGGTGATATTTTATGATTTGTTGACTTTTATATTATATACATACACACATGCCTGGTGAATTACTCAATAAAGTTCAATAAATTTTTCAATGAGAGTATCAACCTCTTCCTGCTCAAAGTGAGGTCGGGAATTTAAATCAAGTGTGAATGACTACCTACTTAAAAAAAAAAAAAAAAAAGGTTTTTCAATAGAGTTGCGAGGAGAGATTGGAGCACAAAATAAGGAGAAAAGGGCAGTTTAGTCTTTAAAAAAAAAGGTATATGGAGCGCCAATATCACCTCCATTTTTTTTTTTTTTTTTTTTTTTTTTTAACTGCTTAAAAACATTCTCCGACATTTCTGTAGTTGTAGGAGAAACTGTATCCATACAAAATGCTTCTCAGTTGAACCTCACCCAAATCATCAACCCAAATACTGAGAAATTTTCAAAGCACTACTAAATGGCAACAAAAACAACTGAGTGCACGGTTGTTTTGCTGCTCTATACAAAAGAGACCCTCAATCTATTTTGCTATAACCTGTAATTAGAACAAAATGCATGTATCATCATCATCTTCCTTTAATAGACCTAAAACCCTGTCAATCCGGCGAAGTGCTTCTTCATGGCCCGGTCCTTCCTGAAATTATTTCTTCCCCCTCCTCCTCTCCTTCCTCTACCCCTCGGATTGACTGGATTCCCACGTCCTCCCACTTCAGTGGCGTCGGGCTCATCATCATTTTGATCCTCATTTGACTCCATCAGCTTCTTAACTGCACCTCCTAAAGGAAGGTTTCCTCCGCGTCCAAGGCCATGGATTTGTTCTCTCTGGGCTTGATTAACTAGCGATGCTTCATTAAAATTTGCGACTGCAATTGAACCCTCAACTTTATAATTGTAGTTCTTACCATCCTTCACATAGTATTGGGGCTTCTTACGGGAGTTCCATTTAGAATGAGCAGGATTTTGATCAGGATTTCCTGCCTGTGTCTCCCAGGGTTTTCCCCGCTGTGTCTCACTCTCTTCCAATCCCGAATCACCAACACTCATACCTAAATCATCAAAAGAGTCGTCATATTCGTCTTCATACTCAAGTTGTGAAGCTAGCGCCACAGTCCTTGCCAAATCCATGTCGTCTCTGGAATTGAGGGCCTCAGGATCAGAAGAGGCAACTCTAGACTTTCTGACATACCTCCCAACTGTTGTTGATGACGATGAAGAAAATGATGGGGCCACATTTTGTTGCTCTCTGGATGTAGGTAACACATTTGTAGAAGATGCTGTTACAGATTCCAACATTTTTCCTTTCCCTTTATCATTCCTGCTCATAGAAGACAACTTGGGTGGTGGAGTTTTCTCCAAGGAAGTGTCCAGGGATTGCAAATCTTCATGGAGAGTTCCCTCTAGAATCCTTTGAATAACCTCTTCTGGATTCTGGTTATAGACTTCAAGACATGCGGATAAGAAACCCATGCCATAATCGGGGAAAATGTCTTTTATTTGACTCATTTTAGACTCAATGATTGCAGCATCTTCATCCGTCTGCAGTGTGTTGTTTGTCACAGGGGCTGGCGCATGAGACTTCTCCTTAATATTGGCTTTCAAAGAATGCTTCATGATTCCAGAAAGATACTTGATTTGTTCATCATCCATTGAAATCCAACCTGCACCAGAACAGTTGAACAACAGAATTGCTTCAAGATACACAATCAAGGATAATTTACAGAAATGTTAAAAATAATGCAAAGTATTTGTCAAAGAGGATACAATAAAAAAATCTTCCAAAAGGTTGCACAGAATAAATCCCTGAGTTAATCAAAAGCAACACGGATACTTGCAAATAGAATTTGCTGTACATAAATCTAACATATGCATGCTACCTTCGCTCATAAATCTGTCATATGCATGCTACCATCACTACTCCTACAAATGCCGAAAATGTACTACAATTAATGTCAAGTACAATTGTACTAGTACAGATACACTGGAAGTAAGATAAACAAATCATCTTGAAAATAACACAAATTCTGTGCCCAGATAAAAAACAAGGAAACAGGCTACTTTTTGTGTTGCCTAGCTTTTTGTAATGGGAGATATGCCCCCTATTTCTTCTACATTGTTGCTTTTAGGTCTATCCATTTGTATACTTTCCGGGAGCAACCAAAAAAAAAAAAAAAATGAGGGTGAGCGAAAGGTTCTTCTACCCCTTTCTCTTTTTATTTCTACTCTCAAAAGGAAAGCTCTCCTTTTCTGCCCAAAAATTTGGGCATAAGATTTTTTAGTACAAAGGAAGAGGTGCTCCTCCCTCCCTCAATTTCTTCCTCCACCAAACATTGGGGAGTTTCCCCTTCCCTTCCCCCTTCCTTCCCTCATCTTTTCCGCCCTACCAAACATAGCATAAAACTTATAGTGCAGCTGTGCAGGGAGAAGAGCCGAGCACCCCGCCTAACCAAGGGGTAGTCTTCGTCACGACAAAGAATGCTACACTTTAGATCGCTTTCATGGATGCCATGAAAATTCAAAATATGTTTTCCTTACAAAATGTCTATATTAGTATTTGTATATGTACAGATTTGATTACAGCTACAAAGAACTAATAAAACAACACAAACAAGATATTTCCTTCGACAGATAGTTTTGTCAAGGGTTATCAAAACGCAAACATTTTAGCATGCGATTCATGCAAAATTCAAATGTTTACTCACGCTTTCACATAGAGACGCACAAGCTCGTGGAAACCAATAGCATAATCACTTGATGAACCCTTCAAAGACCCTCATCATCAACAATTATATAAATGCAAAGAAAAAAGAAAAAATAAAGCCTGACATGATGACTTCTTGATAGGATGTTAATTTCAACTTTCTTTTTCCCCTCAATTTCTAACTACCAGAGACTGACAAGACTTAAGATGCCTATGCATACAACATTATCATGACGGACACAATGGAAAACCTATGCTACACTGTAATTTAGGCAAGCCGAATCTAAATGCTATAAGAAATTTTTCTCTGCATTGTTAACCTTTACAAACTAGGATTATAAACGGATTAGTACCCTCCTTGTATTAGGCATATCAGAGTAGGTGTACGACACTTCTTCGTGTTTAGTGGTGAAAGTGCACAAAGTAAAACTTATTTTTTAAAACTGAACATTTCAAAAAAATCAAGCTTTGCCTTACAAAACAGGAAAACCTTTTGGGTTTTAGAAAAGTGCGGATGTTAGAAAAGATTTCCAATAGTTTAACACACTTCCTGCTTTATACTTTCGTGCCTCGCTGCCTTATTAGATCACGTCTTCACAAAATTTTGATGCACTCGAAAAGCAAATGTCATCTTGGAAGGATTTACAAGTACACCACCGTATTACGAACACTTGTACATTTAAAGAGGCTTTTTTAGGCGTTCTTGAAAAGGCTTTTTGAGTCTTACTTTATGGCAAGACTATTTTGAAGCAACCCAACACCACTAGCATTAATTAAGTGTCCCATTAGGAATGCACCTCACAGTTCCTGACACAATTGAAGGTGCTATTTTTATGCTTCTACATCTTGTCTCCTGAAGCCTAGACCTCATGTTCTGTAATTCATCTCTATCTTTCTTGATTAAACAATGTTCCGTCTAATCTTCAATTATAGTGAACGATAATACTCATATACATTGATCAAATATGGTGCATTATTCTTTTCTTTTTCTTTGTTAAGCAATTTCAATATGCTCCAAGAAATGTTTATATATTCTTATATTATTTTCTAACTATGCCTTTTATATTAGTTATAATAAATTTAGATAAAATAAGAAATCAAAATCCAAAGCCTCCATAAACGAGTTAAATCCCTTGAAAATGCTTTTGCCTTCTAAAACCATGTGCTCTTCAGTCTGACAACGTCAGCACATCAAACAGACAAGTAATAGTAAGATCAGATTTAACATGCATCACTGTCAGTAGTGTAACAAAAAATCTGTTCAAACCCAGCTTTTCAAATACAAGATTTCCGTACCTGTATTTTGTAAAAAGTCAATTCTACTCATCATCTGGTGATCTTTTTCAAGATTTTGGAGAAATGTTCCCCTGTTTTGGTCCTCTTGAACATTTGAATATCCCCCACCAATCTCCCTAAAAGTCTGAACCAAAATGTCTGCCCTTATGACAGGATCCTCTACATTGGCGGGGAACATCTTTGTGGCAGATGGAAGAGGGAAGCTACCCTCAAACACTTCATCACTAAGATAGCAGAAGTCCAGTAACTTCCAACCAAGTTTCACTATCCTCATAGATAACATTTTCAAACTAAGAGCAATGTTTGAAAGCATGTCCACTAATGTGTCCAGAGGCCCATCTTCTCTCATTGTAAGTATAATTCGAAAGCCTCGCTGCAGAGATGGCAGCAAGAAATCATGTAATCTTACAAGGGTGCTGAGTAATTCCTCATTTCCATTACTGCATGAACAAAACAACTGTAGTTAGAAAGGTGTTTCACAAGATTTCAGGTAGAAAAGCAACGAGTTGATATCAAGCATGAGATATGCCTCAGAAGTGAACCTATTCACAAAATAAATTGATATTACCTCATAAATAAAACTGTTCATATCAACAATAAAATATAAAATATAACTGGAAACAATTAACATCAAAAGAAGTACATCCCTCGGTTCCCACCTTTTCACACTATTGTTTAGAACAGACCGGATTATTCATCATCACTTTCCATTATCAATGTAGGATTAGGATCATCTCTGTCACTTTTTCGCTCCTCTACTCCGTGGTGTATGATTGGATGGTTCACAACACTACACGTTGGCTGATCAACATTTATTTGATTTTCTTAAAATAAGGCAGTGTTGTTTAATGAAAGATCAACGGTTGTGAATTGTTGTGAATCACTGACTGTGCATCATGGAATAGAGGAGAGAAAAAGGAGAGAAACTTATACTATATTTTTAATCTAATAATCTAGGATTTTCCTGCAAAAATAAAATATCTCTATCCTGAGTCCTTTCCCGTTTTCTCCAATATGAAGATGTGGGCATGCTTGCATAAATGAAGAAATTAGATTATCTCAATGTAGTCAGGCTTTCAATTTTCCCACTACCATAAGATTGCACAAAATGCATTTCAAAACATTTCTATAGAACTTTAGTGACTGTAGTATAAACCATGCAACAACTTGAAGATGAAGAACGTCATCTTCCATGTCATAACTCAATATGCACTAATGATATAGCTACTTTGTTCTAGACAGTTGCAACAGATCTAGCAAACAACCAATCATAATCGTTGACTGAGTGAACCCACTATATTGGGTAAAATTAAACCCAAAACCACAGGTGCCATGCATCCTTATTTCGTATGGTAAAAGTTCGATACCTCAATTCAACAGGGCATGAGAAATATACAGCTGCAGGCTTGTATGCACTAACAAAAGCATCCATGGATACAACTGCATCATTTATGAAGTCCATTACCTATGGACGGAAATATAAAAATAAAATTAGTCACGGTTATGCACATATCTTATCCAACAAAAGCCATAATAGGAGAAAAAATAGAAGATTCTCTTGGTTGCCAAAAAAATCCTTTCCTGACAAGGTACGTTTCAGCTGCTAACCCAATTAAAAAATAAATAAATAATGTTATTACTGTGAGAAAGCAGCCAAAACTTGGTTAATGAGAAAATTTTCCCAAGTATGTCCTTATGCCAACTCTATAGAAAGTCTTTCTTGAGATTATTGGAGTGTAAACCATTCAATATTTGTCTCTAACCATAGAGAATGTTTTACAGCTCAAAGTACCATTGCGTTCCAAGGAAATGATCTCCACCGCAACAAGGCCCAAAGAAAAAAAAAAATGCATGAACAAAAACAACCCAATACTCCCATAGGGGAAAACAAAATATAAAAAATTAAAAAAACAGAACCTCCAAATAATCTGCATGTAGCCGACTGGATCCATGATCTTCAAGCCCATGAGAGGAGAATAGAATCTGTATGAGAACCCAAGGAAAAAAAACTTAAATTTATGGTAAAATTTACAGAGAGAAGTACAAAGACTCTTTAATCATTATGCAACTGTTTGAAGAAAGCTATAAAAAATCTTGAGTAAACGTAGATCTCAGCATTTTTCTTTCCTGTTTTGGCTAATTGAAAGGTATTCAAGCAATTATGACCGCACGATTAATCCTTTCAAAGGCATGCAGCATCCCATCCCATCCCACATGCATCAGCATCACTGGGATAAAACCTTGGATGGCCCCAAGGGCAAAGACATAAACTTGGGACTTCCACATGTTGGCAACATGTTTTGGACACCTTGCCCTATAGCCATTACAGTTCTTCTATTAATTATTGTCACCTTTTTTCCTTGAACTTAGTTATTGTTGCTTTGAGTTAAGGAGATGTGAGTTTTGACAACGAAAACAAAGAAAAAATACAAAAAGACTTCAAGTTCATTCAGAAAGGAGGACCAATACAATGGACTGTTATCTTCTACATCAATAAGTGCAAAAAGCAGTACGCCTCTTGAAAAATCTGACTACAACGCGAACACATGTTAATCCTTCAATTAAGTGTCAAACTTTACACATCCATAACTCCGAATTCGGATCCATGAAATATGTGTACCATCCAAAGACAAATTTTCACCCCATTTACCTCAAGTGGACATCATATGTTTCCACTTTCCACTGCTTTAATACGGCCTTTAAACTCCTGAGTTTGTCATAGGAAATGGGGTCATTGCCGTAACCAACTAAATAATAGGTTTTACTGGAAAGTGCATCAAGGAGCAACCAGAATTAGAATTTCAATTATTTACTTATTTAAGATCTCCATCCAAAAATTTCACAATGACATACATTATGCTAAGTGCCTATTGAACTACTCTGACTTATCAATTTCACAGGTATATCACATACTTGTATAAAAAACTATTAATATTTGAATTTCTAATCTCTATCCAAAAACTTTTTAAGGCTGTAAATGCTCAGGATTTCAAACAGGAACAGATCAACTTATGACTATTAATTCAACATGTGAAGTATATCATATATGCAATATGCTAAACAAGACAGTAGGCGTGATTCAGGCAATAAACTAACCCCAGCATTCAGTAAGGTAATACGGATATAAATCTAAATTCACTGGTACAGATAACTCCCATCTACTAATTAATAAGTTAAAACAAGTTTCTTGACAAAGTATACCTCTAAGGATGAGCTGCAACGCTGATGCATTGTGTGGACAATGCTCAGGAAATGAGACATTGCTGCAGTAAAATTATCATGGATCCTAGGTTGGGCCTTCAAAGTATTCACAACCTGTCAAACGCAACTATGTAAGAGAGAGAAAGAGAGAGGATCTTGAAGCAGCAGTTAGATTAAAAGATCAGAACTACCCTAAACAGCTGCAGCACAGAGCAGAAGACATAGTTTTGTGATCTACAAAAATTCAGCAATGATGGCTTTTTGCAGGCAAAGTAAAGGAATAAATAACATCCTGGTAGGACACAAATCATTAATAGGATAGACAAGAAACAGAACTTGTGGTGCATCCAAATACCTCCAACTGAGTACCTTAAGTGTAGAATGGATAGCGCCAATATAACAAATTGGATATAAACGTTCCAAAGTTTGCAAAGAACTAGAATCTTTGCACCGTTAAAAAGTTAAGAATTTCAGTTTTGAATTACCTAGATAGACCCTGGGAAGAGTACCACTAACATCAAGGAAAGGGAGAGTAGCTGAAATGAGAAACTACATTAAAAAGAGAGTCGAAACGTCTGTAATTCAGTCAATGAAATGGGGCATCTTAAAGTTCAAAAGCAGACATTAAGATATAGGAGCAGTGCTGTAACCAAAAGGTTCGGATTCTGGCACGGAACTAAATGCTCGTCTTGACATTTCAGTAACACTTTGATCACTATAGACTTTTATGTGCTAAAGTGGTCAACAATTCTCAGAGTATTTTAGTAAATAGTGGAGAGAACTAAAGTCTCTGGAAATTGACGGGGTGCATCAGTTGCAGTCATATTGAATTTTTCCAAACTAGTGCGCTTTCTCAAGAGGGTCAGAGGGTGGATGTGTCCAAAAAAAAGAAAAGTCTCCAGTTTAAGAAGGCAGTATAACATGGAAACATGGTGTTAGAATCACCCAAGCACCATGACATGGCAGAAGGCATTGGACAGCTCTACAAGCAGCCTTGAGAATTTGAGATGGTCACCTACCCACAAGGATCAAATACCTAAGGGAGGGTGCAATAAAAAACATTATTAAACAAGGAAATAATGCAGCTTGCAGTTAAGGCCGATTCCTGTAAGGAGAGAAAGGTTAATGTAAATGTTAACCATAAAACCTCCAGTAAACTTTGGGATTGTATGCATGTCAACTAATAACTTACCCCAAAAAAAAAAAAAAAAAAGAAAACCCAGCTGAGATGGTTATGGCAAATTATAAATGATTGCACCACTACATAATTCATGCAAGGCAATTTATTCCTTTGTTAAATAGACTCGTGTACGTGTACTGGGTGCGGGTATGTATCCAAGCATTGGACGTGTCAAATCCTAACTCAGAAGGAAACAAGGACTCTGCCAAAATTTCGTATTATTAAATTTTTTATTGTATTTTCTATAGTAAAAAAAATATTTATGTAGCATAGTGTTTAATATAGATATTTCACTTGTTTTAAAGCAATGCATAACAAAGTTGAATTATTGGACATCTCTTTTTAGGCGCATGTCCAACCAAAAGTGTCAAAAACATATAGCATTCTGCCATTCCCATGTCCAAGTATTGTGTATTCGACATCAGCACTTCACCAGCTTTTGAAGAGTCATGTCACAGACTCATTCTATGTCAAGATAGGGAAAAACAACTCAACTCAAGAAAGCCTTTTGTCGACTATTTGGGTTGGCTACGAGAATATTGTTGTCATTCTGCTCTATCTATCTGCTCCATTTGGGGCCCATAATCAGAGTCAAACCACATCACATCATATTTTATTTTACTTTAAACTATCACAATCTATGTTAGTTTTGTTCTTTTTATTCCCCTAATATTATCTTCAATGGTATAGTTCTTTTATGACAGGATCAAACAATTTTAGTCAATTCTCTCTCATTTTTCTTCAATTATTCTATTTCAACCATCTCACGAATGTGTTCATCTCCGATCTTATTTCTTGTTTTGCCAACATCCATCAACAAATCCATTATCAACTTTAAGGGGTGCAAGCATGGTTCAGTGAACCAGCCGGTTCGCGACGCTTTTATGGGCTCCCGTTACTTTGACTCACCGATTTACCGGTGAGTCAAAAAATTCGCACAAGAATCGGCTGATTCGCGACGAACTGACCAATTCTTCATGCGTAACGGACACTACTGCATAGAACCGGCCAGTTCAATCATCATTGCATTAATTGGTGGTCAAATATTTGACTGCACTTGCTGAGTTTTTTAATATAAAAAGCAACTAGCCGAAGGTTTGAACCCAGTAACCTCATGCAATCAGTAACGTGCTCCTGTCACTCGTCCAAGCCTTTTTTTATATCCTAATGGGTTTACTCTTATATTTATTGATTAGTTAATTATTATTGTAAACAATAAAAATAGACACAATTATAATTATCATAAAATCACACATTATATGTTTAATTTATGTTATATGCAGACAAATAATATTTTTAATTCAGGTTTATTTTTTTACTTCTACTTTTTGTTTTTAATTGTCACATGTTATAGATCGTATGATTCATAACTCATTTTATAATTGATTTTACTTTTAGTTATTGATTTCATAAAAAGTATAATTACTAACCATTTTTAATAACAACAATGATATAAATTCACAGTTTGGTCATTACTTGTGTTAAATGATCTAAAAAAGTTCAATAAAAATCACTAGAAATTCATCTTCATGAATCATATTGTAAAAATTTGTGTATCGGTGTATTTTGGAATCTATTTGCGAGGTTGAAAAAAAAAATTCACAATTGTGATAACCGGTACCGTTATGTTACACCAATACAGCCCTGATTCCGTTACACCGCAATCGCGACTGTGAACCATGGGTGCAAGAGACTTGATTCTATTAGCAAATCCAAGTGTTACCAATTAGACCAAAAAGATCAGCTCTTATCCATCGAAGACTACATATAAGAAAATTTCTTTAACTGGCATCTACAGGGGTTGATTGTTAGACTGGGTTCATCAATGAACTGAGAGAGAGGACAATTCTTACCCATAAGTCAAGGCCTGGTGACAGAGCATATTTACTTCCCCCGACCCACAAATTATTATAATAATAATAAATAAATAAAAATCAGTAAGACAAAGTTTCTGGTTCTCTTCAGCTTTCTTGTGTATCCTATTAAAAAAAAATTTAAGGATTTATTATCGTTTTTTTCACACCTATTTAAATAGATAGTCATTTCTGTAGCAAGAAAAAGTTTAAAAACCCAAAAAAAACTACAAAACCTTAACCAAAACCTGAGCATGATTTGCTAAGCTTCCAACTTTCTACTCAGAAGGAAGACAGAAATTTTAAGACGAACAAAAGAAAAGTGCAAGCACAGGCAACAAAAAGTATTTTCAATTAACAATTGCAAGAGCGATAAAGAAATAAACCACTTCTACTTTTCATTGCTTACCACTAATCTGGTCAGATCTTCATTCTCATGACCATATATGGCACAAATATCTAATAACTTAGGCAAATCAAGCAACTTTTTTTCCTGCAAAAGGACTAAATGTGGATTTAGTGAACAACAGTGTACTGAAAAAATAAAAAAGGTAAATTGTCACAAATATAATATTTCATCTTCTTCATAATATTCACAATAGATATTTTTGATGGGCGATATAAAGTTACTGATTTTTGTAAAAAAAATTATAAGCTACAAAGAATATGCAAAAAAGTGAAGTCATTGTTTACAAATAAGCGAAAAATATGCAGTTATTCAAAATATAGATAAGAACTGTCATAGAAAGGCATGAACAAAACACAACAAAACCGTATTCAAACTATTTGGGTTTAGCCATATTGATTATAAAAGGCCATATTAGCAGCAATAATGAAAAAAAACCACACACCAGCATGATCCTTTGGACTGAGACTGTCAGCAGACCTAGCACCAGGATCCCGATTGGAAGATCTGTAAAGGAATGGAATTACAAACCAATTCAAGATAAATGTAGAAAGCATACTTGGGAAAACATATGTAACTATGAATATATTATGGAATTATAAGTTATTACTGAAACTTACATGCGATACAAGACCATGAAAGCACGCCTGTTCAGCTCAGATTCTCCTAGAATGACCCCAGCAACTATTCCCTTCGAGCGACGATGTGGGAAGTCATACCACCTAATCTTAAATTTTAGGAAGCTTTCCAGAAAGTCGTGCAAGGAAGAATCACTCGCCACTAAGAAGAGTGGAAAGAAAGGGGGGAAAACAGTAAGAGTGGAAGGATTGCACAAATAATGTGTTTACACAACACACAATGAAATTAGCTGTTATCTTTGTTAGCCAGCATTGAAATGATATAATAAGTCATCAATACCACTCTTGACGGTTTCCTCATTATCATACTTAGCACCAGTAGTTTTCAAAACCTTCTCACATCTCCGTCTCCATTAGATGTGCCAATCATTCAATATGTTCACGCCAGACAGTAGCAATTTTGATTAATGCTTGAAAAGTAAGTTGGCATTTCCGCAACATGTCGCTGATACCAAAATTAATGATCCAGTGAAGCCAAGAGACCTCACTCCTTTCCCTTATACCCAATAATCATTAAACAATTGCTTTTAATTTAACAACCAAACGAACCGAAAACAACAATATTAACACAAAATAACATCCAAAAGAACTATGCATCAATTAAACTAACACAGAACAAGAAAACCAATCATACCGTATCAAAACTCAGTGGATCAAATGACAACCCCTTGAGAAAAAACACAGTACCCATTTCAAAAAATAAATAAAAAATTTAACTAGCATCAATTGAACCAACACATAGCAACAAACCCTTGAGAAAGAAAAAAAAAACACAGTAACCATTTCAAAAAATAAATAAATGATTCAATTTCTGAAAGATACCAACCTTCTTTCCAAAAATCTCTGGATTTCAATCTAAGCAACCGAGACAACTCTCTGTTGAGAAGATCGACCACTCGCTGAGACTCCAAAGGATCCAATCCGCCTTCTTCAGCACCGAAACCAGCTGCGACCGCCTCGTCCTGCGGCAAGTAATTCACGAAATTGCCACTGGGAATTCTATTGGAAACCCAGTCCCCGCTATCGCCCATCCGAACCCTACTCGCCGACGCGGTGGCGCCACTGCTGCCACCGCTTGATGTGGCGGCGGAGGATACATCGGGTTGTGGAGAGAGAGATTGTCTGAGAGAATTTGAGAGTGTTAGATTGGTGTCTGGCTCTCCTGAGGTCGAATTGGACGCTTTCGGGATATACTTTTTTTGGGTTTTGGCGAAGCTTTTGTTGCCGTCGTGCCTGTTATGAGCATATCGATTCGACATTTTAGAGAGAGAAAGAGGAGAAAGAGGAGAGAGAGAGAGAGCTCCGGTGGCGACGAGAGCTGCTGAGTGAAGAATATGATTTTGCAGCTTGGAAAGAGGAGAGAGAGAGAGAGAGAGAATCCTTTGATCCTTGGAAATTCAGGAATACTTGTGCACTTCCAGGGTCGATCGAGCCTTGGGGTGCACACAAAATCACAACGTTGGGACCCAATAGAACCGTACAGTTTTGTTCTTATTCTTTTTTTATATAGTTTTCTATTTTTTATTTTTTATTTGATTAATTTGAATATATATATATAGGAACTTTTAAACTATAGAACAACAAATCGATTATTTATAGTATCATTTTTAGTTTGCTTCCACTAATTTTAACGGTTTGTTTAGGTTCTAATATTTCTGAAATTGATTTAGTTCGGTACATTTTTTTTATTTTTTGATATAGTTTTTTAATTTTGATTTTTTATTTGATTAATTTGAATATATATAATATTTATAAGAACTTTTAAACTATATATAGAAGAAATTATTTATATTGTCATTTAGTTAACTTTCACCAATTTTAACTGTTTGTTTCGGTTCTAATATTTCTGGAAGTAGTAAGATCGATCCAGTTTTTGTTCTGGACCAAACCAACATAAAGCCTAACCCGAAATACAAAATTTCCAGCCGCAAGTAACAAACATAATTTAAGTATTATTTTTTTTTTTCAAGTTTTGAGTTAAGACTCAACTTTATTGGGTTAGACATGAGCTGAGAGCTTAGTGTGATGTGGAGAAGATGTGTGATCATAACTATATAAATGATATGTTATGCGGGGCAGGATCACCTTCAGTCGTACAGTGCCTCATTTTCTCCATTTTGGGTTAATGAACAGTGTTAATCATGATTGGTAAAAAAATATATTTTCGTCTTCCCTATTCTTCGTTTAAGACAAACCTTCAAAACCCTAAAGCCTCAGACCTTCCCTTCTCGTTTCAGACCTCCCTTATTCTTCGTTTCAGACCAACCTCCAAAACCCTAAAGCCTCACACCTTCTTCTTCATCTTCCCTTGTTCCTTTCTTCTTCGTCTTCCCTTGTTCTTCGTTTCAGACAAACCTCCAAAACCCTAAAGCCTCAGGCCTTCCCTTCTTCTTCTTCTTCTTCTTCTTTCGTTAAAACCTTCTTCTTCCCACCCTTCTTTTGTTAAAAATGATGTTAGGGGTAAATGGACAATTGCAAACAATATTTAGGCTTCGTTTGGATACACAAGAGAGAAAGGAAAAGAAAGGAAAAAGAAATGAAAGTATAATATTCTTATTTGGATAAAACTGAGGAGAGAAAAGAAATGAAAGCATAATAATCAAATTACTATATTACCCTTTTGTATCTAATGTAAATAAAATAACTTGTTTCAAAAGCTTGAATTACTTGTAATTTGGAAAGCTTGAATTACCCTTTTGAATTACTTGTATTATATAAAATCCTTATAATTTATGAAATACTTGTAATTTGAAAGGTCAAATTGATCAAGGTGATCAAGGATGTCACTAACATTCTAATAATCTAATTCTGGATCCTAAAGTTCCATTAAACAGTGGATTTAATTTAGATTAAGGGGCCCAAATCCATATCCACAAACAAAAGATTCAAAATAAAGACAAGTTGAAAATGTAAGCACCACCTTTGCAAGCATTTCTGCAACACGTTTTTTCTTTCTTTTCCTCCAAATTTTGTTTCTCTTGGACCTTTTTTTTTTTTTTTTTTGATAAGACAAATACTCCTCATGATTCAAATAAGAAAACGGGATGATAAATAAAAATGTGTTCCCATGCACCCTTGTATAATATCTCTAGAAAATGAGATAAAAACTGCTCAAAACTAACTAAAGAAAAAACCCCTCAATGAAAAAGATCCTCATTCTCAGCTGTAAGCTTAATGGGATTTCACATACTCCTGAACTATGTGAAGACCCTGAGTTTCTTCCCCGTAATCCTCAACAACAACACAGGAACAACCAACCACCTTCCTCGCTTTCCCATCAAATTCTAATTTGTAGATGCGAGAGAAGAGGAGATAGAGAAGCTACGCCCTAATATTATTGACCTAGGACTTTAATGTAATATAAATTTTGTGTATTGAATTTTGAAGGTTAATTTTGTCTTTAATGAAAATTTTATTTAAATTGTTTCATTTCCCCTCAAATCTTCTCAAAATTGGAAGGATTTAGTTGGAAGGATTTGGAGGGATAGGCGCTATCCCTCCAAATCCTTCATAATCCTTTCTTTTCTCTTATATTCTCTCCATCCAAACATACTTAACACTATCCTTCCCTTTCTTTTCTCTCCAAATCTCTCTAAATCCCTCAATCCAAACAAAGCTTAAGGGTAAAATGGACAATTCAGACCAATATATAGTATTATTATAATATATATACCGTATTTATTATATAATACTTTAATATTTTATACCCATTTAATACAAAGAAACAGTGCACGTGGCCAAGTCCTGTCCACTTATTCCCAAATGGAGAAAATGGGGCACTGTGGGACTGAAGGTGATTTTTGGCCTATGTTATAGACACTAAAATTTCAAGATTGTACCTTATTGATTCAAGAGTCAAAATCTGTTGATCAATTCAGCGTCTACAAGGTTAAGTCAACAATTTGTACCGCCCCGTCCTGCCCTAAGGGTGGGTATGGGTTTAGATTTTAAAACTATCAACGGTTATAGGACAGGTATAGGTTTTAAAAAACATCTGTTCCACTTGCCCTTTTTTGTACACTCAACCTATCCGTGTAAATTGACCCTTAATGTAATTAGTTGGCTATACAAATAGATTAGAGAAATCCACTAAGGGTCATTTTTTTTAATGTTACACTTCGAATTTAAAATCCGCAGAAATTTAATACTTAGCATTGATTTGGTACTCCAAATATTAGCATAATTGTAAATAATTTAGTAACAAATATTTGAAGAGGTTGACAAATTGAAGGAACTCCATGTCTGTCATTTTTAGTAGTTTAAATAAACCTAAAGAAATAAAACTTTACAGGAGAAGAGTTAGATCATGAAATTCAAATTAATCTCATTAATTTTTTTCCTTTTCTTCTTCTTCTTCTTTTTTTTTTTTTTTTTTTTTTTCATAAAAGCATAAAATACAACAAATTCAATAACCTTTAACAGTGGAAAATCGAATAGTATCCAATAGATTTTTGCTGATTAGAAGATTGATTAATTTTTAAACTTGTTCTAAAAAAAATGTTTAACGTCACAAAATAGGATCATGTATTCATGATATTATAAATATAAATAGAAAAATCAATGAGTACAGCTGCAAGAAATTAAATTGGAGTGTTTAATGAAATCATCCATATATTCTGATAAAAGTAGAGTAATAATTTAGCAGATACCTATTAAAATGTTTATCATTACATTATCAAATCCTGATTAACTTTTTGTTAATTGAACTTGGACCAATCTATGGTGCCCTCTTTCCTATCACCCTCCATTAATCCTTGTTTAAATCTTTAGATGTTGGTCAACTTCAAAAACCTAGGAAATGATTTCTTCCTCAGCGGTGGGCAAGAAACTAATCTACTATGAATGGATGACTGTTGTTGGATGTGATTGTTATTTTTTTTCATAACTACATTTTTTTTTTATATCCAATGATCACGCATAGCGCAAATGAATTTCTTACTCACCGATAACCAAAAAATTATTACTCATGTATATATATACACACACACACATACAGGAACGAACCTGTGATGGACTCACAGGCAATTTTTTTCTTTTTCCTATTATACCAACTAATTTTGCTTTTTAAAAATTATATACTTACAAAATTCCAAGTTTGCCCCCACTGAAATTAAAGAAAAACTCCACCATTGCCCCTCAATATTTCTTTGTTAAAAATGGCCCCCCTCAAGTACTTTTCTGGGTCTGTCCCTATATATGTATATATCATGTTTCACTTGTACTACCTAGCTAGCTTTGTTTTATTGTCAATGTTCATTCAAAATTCCAATAGACCCTCATGGAAGAACATGTATCATTCTCAAATAAAATCCAGTTCACAAACATCAATATTGGGGGGGCTGCATCTCTGTCAACTAATTCTGTCCTCACAAAACAGAAGTAGGCAAATGTTTTCTTCTCATTATCAATTAAAAAATTATACTACAAAATGCAAGTTCATGAGCATTTCATAATTCACAAAAATGCAAGGTTAGCTATCACAAGTAAAATTTTGTTTTTTAATAATTATATATTTGGGTTGAATTACATGATCTCTTTTATAGCTGCCAATACTTTCATGATCTTGAAAAGAACATTCCCAAGCTTCACACTTTGACGAGTAAGAACATTTAAAATGTTATTATAAAAATGAGGATTACTCCTCATGAATGAAAATGGAGTTTTATCTATGTTAATCCATTGCAAGTCAGAATATAAATTCTCTTCATCGTCCGTCATCGTCTTCTTTTTTGCTGGCAATAAATGGACATTGAGGGTGAAAAAAAATTCCAACAGCTCCCTCCAAGGTCATAGAGTTGGAGAAATATTTTGGTAGAGACCCATGTCCACTCCATTGTAAGCAATGGGAGCATACATCCACATATCATCTGAGCTTAATAACTATAAAAAACAACACAAAGATTAGAATATATATTCCTTGTAGCTTCAAGTAATAACAAAGGACTTATATATATATATATATATATATAATGGAAATAATTGAATCTACTTTTTCTCCTACCTTAATTTGAAGCTGCAAAAACTTCACATAATGGACTGCCTCTTCAAGCATTGTGCTAATGTCAACCTGTCATATATTGCATTAGAAAATTCAATCATGTTCAAGCATTGTTACAAATTAAAACTGGTAATTCAATGAAATTCAAGTACTTCAAATTCATGGAACATACTATATACATACCTTTGTTCCATTAGGAACAAGATTCTGCAAGACTCTCAATCTCTCATTTATTTTCTCTCTCCTTTTCTGCAAAATTGATAGAAAAAAATAATAAGAAATAGAGGGTTAATTAAAATCCTGAAATTACATTGCCTTCAATTTCAAAATTTTCTTACCCTTGCATAGAGGCTTTGAGGATCAGTTGCAGAACCCCTACTAGCTCTGGTCTTCCCATTCAAGTTGAGAGCTTTTGGCCCTTTAGAATCCGAGGTTCCGAGTTCATTGTTCTCATGAGAGGCTTCAGAATCATCCTCTGAGCTTTGACAACTAGGGCTTTGTCCATTCAATTCAGCATTAGTAGTACCCTCTTCGTCGTTGGCATTCGTGGATTGCTTCTGGTTCTTCCTTGCCTGTGCATTTTTCTTACCCTTTTGTGCCTGCATTTGGACAACCATGATAAGACACCTATTACTACTATATACTATATGATTAATGATTTCTTGTGTACTCACATCTCTTGAAACCCTAGATTTCTTCTTTGTATTCTCAGACGTGTCGTGGTTGATTTTGTCTTCCACTCCTTTGGGCACATTCAACTTCCTCTTGAGCTGCATTTCCTTGCCATGATCAGCAATTGTCTCCAGCTGATCACCTACAGTCTCTACTTGGTGGTCAATGCTCATCTCTTCTTTCAAGCAGAGAATGTCTTCCATTATGCCATCAGCGAAAACCGGCACAATTGAGCTATTGTTTTCGTTGTCCATCAAACATAAATCCATGGACTCATCATATGCATTATTGGCTATTGGAATATGGTTAGAATGACTATTTAGGTGGTAGTTTTCATGGCTAGGAATGGGAAAAAATGTGCCATTACTAGCACTACTATTGTTGTTACTCTCATGAGAAAAATAGTGAAAATTGGAGTCAAAGGTGTTTGAAGAACAAAACAAACTCTGATCATCATCACAAAAGGTTGATGATGAATTAGTTATGAAGCTCAAACCATCATGATGCTCGTCGTGACCGAGCAACTGCACCATGAAATCAGCCCCTTCTGTGGACAACATCCTGCTCAATGAATCCCATTCATCATCAAGAAAAGCTCCCACAGGCTCCATCTTTTTTTTTTCCCCCTAAAATTGGAAGCTTTTGGAGGGAAAAAAAAGAGGGGATATTCTAGTTTTTTTAGTGATAGTGCTTAGAGAATGATCAGGCTTGGAATGAGAGAAAAATTGGAGACATATTTATACAAAGGGGTGACAAAGAATGTTATTGAAGGATTGACATTATTTGTAATTCTAAATTAATTCTTAATTCCCAATCATTTTTCATGGGTAGGTCCCAATTCTCTGAACTAATCTCAGGAGTCCACTGTGGGCCCAAAAACCAGGCAAAGTACAACTCAGAGGAGACCAAATTCATGCATTGATGGATTAAGATAACACCATCCTTTCAATGGCCTTAAACCATCTTAGACTTGCTAAACCTACCGTAACGCTAGTTTGACTCATCTCTTAATCCAATCATTGAGAAGTGACTAAACATGATTAATTAGTGTTTAGACGATGATCATATAGTTGTGGAGGAGAGAGAGAGAGAGAGAGAGAGAGAGATCATTTTTCATAAAAACCAGAACGTGGGAAGTGTTTTTTAGAGTATAATAAGTAGAGGGAATTTTGTTGAGGAATTAAAAAACAGAATGAATCAAAAAGAGCTGCTCTTGGCTAGACATGGTAACCGCAAAAGTCGACCCTTGTCCCCTATGTTGTGGCCTAAAGTTCACCGGCCACCTAATGTTTCTCTGCTCAAAATTTATATAATTTCAGTATACCATGCTGATATGCCTTTCAAACATCTGTGAGATTAGAAGTGACTTGTTCATGTACAACTGTAGAAGTGAGATATGTATGCATTACATAGATGCCCTTTTTCAAGCCCTCTTTAGTCATTAACAATCATATTTGTGTTTGTGTGTGTGTGTGTGTGTTGGGGTGGGGGGGAGGGGACATTTTCATCTACCAACCCCCCTTCCTCGTGAAATGATATTAGTAAGAAAAATGTTATCACGAGGGTGTTCTCACGTGAGCTCGAGCACTCTTCAGATGGATCAAATTTAATCTAGTTGATGAGAGCGTTAGTTTACAGTGAGAGCATTCTCATTGTAACACTTCTCTATCAGGAATCTCAATTTACTAAAAAATTGCCTGAGTTCGCGCACTCATAATTAGATCATATATTTAATCCGACTTTAATTTGATTGATAAAAGTGTAAGTTCACAGTGACAACACCCTCGGTCATTATAACACTGCCATATTAGTAATTTCAATTTACTAGAACATTACGTGAGCGCACGCACTCAAAAGTTGGATCACACATTTAATCTGACTTCAATTTGATGGATGAAAGCGTAAGTTCACAGTGAGAACACACTCGTTGTAATCTCACTTTAATTTAACATATAAGGGTGTGAGTTCAGAGTGAGAGCACCCTCATTGTAGCACCACTCTATTACTAATCTCAATTGATTAGAAGATTTAGTTGTCGCATTGTAATCCCAATTTAAACTTCGGTTAAATCTTCCAAGCAAATCATTCATCCACAACTAATATTCTTGCCTCCTCTATATTGTATTTATGTCAAATCACTACCCTTCCATTTCCTAAAACATATACCCATCACAAATATTGTTCATGTAACATTGAAACATTAATCAACCTATGTTAAAGATATATATATATATATATATATATATATATATATGCACCAAATAAACAAATATGAAACCATAAATATTGCTAAAAAGCACAATATCTATGACAGACCAAAAACCCAGCTGTTAAATCCTAGTCTTGAAGATAGTTTATATACCAATATATATATAAGCCCTAGTCCTCAAAACACTTAGATTTGCCATTAAAGTCTTGCAGTTAACCAAATTAGATTAACTGAACTTAGTCCTTCAACTTCCAAATTCCAATTCACCCCCTTAGATTCCGGCGACTCTCAAGGTCCAATCCTACCCTTTGGATATAGACACATTACAAGACCAATTCTATGTGTACATACACATATAGATACATATATAATTAAATACATACTTATATGCACTCACTTGTACTATAATGATATAATTTTATGTTGGAATAGAATTGTATGACGTCTTCTTCAATGTACCTTGGAGGTTACACCGCCCATTGCACGATCACTACACAAAAAATTAAACCATAGAAACCCTAACAAGTGAGAGGGAATAAAATCCAAAAATCTCACAGACAGTGTAGAGAGATATATGATGATGATGGAAACCAAAAGAAATTCAGATTTTGTTGGTTTGGAAATTGCGAGTGGTTAAGGCCGGCTTTGCACGACTATGGGTTAGGACTTATTAGGGTTTTTCATTGTCTGAATAGAGCTCAAAAAGATGTCATGACTCAAGAGCATAAATTAGGGTTTGGGACAGCTAGTTTTGTCCTATCAAACGACCAACAGGATCATTATTATTCTTTGCCACCAGTTACAATGGAGGTGTTCCTACGATTTTGAGCCACGTGTTCTTCATGTTGTTGTTCCCCTTCCAAGTATGTATTATGATGGGTTAATGGATTGTTGAAGCAGTCACAATTACAATAGATTTTAATAATTTCATGTGATATTCCGTCTACTAGGTTTATTGGTCAAACTAAAATAGTTATAGTGGTTGAATGATCTGAAGCGGAATTCTGTTTTAGACCTCAATAATCTTAATTATTTTACTTTGATAAATAGACCTAATTAGTCGCCTGAATATCATGACTTGTAATGACTGATGAGTCTGGTAACTCTCCAGAAATTGAAATTATTAGATGATCCTGGTTTATTTAACACTTAGTGAACTAATTCAATGAAAACCTTCCGATTATAAAATTTGTAATTTATTAATACACTCTTGTGAGGTCATTTTCTCAATCTAAAAATTTGTATTTAACTAATCCACTAAGTGTTAATGAATCAGGACCATCCAATAATTTCTCGTAACTCTCATTCCCTGTCATTCCCTGTATTGAATGCCAAATAATAATGTCATAGAGTCGATCAAATGAATGAACGCGCAAACACATGGTAAGAGTGCTCTCATCGTAGCTCTGCTCAACATATATCCCATGGCATATTATATATGGTCTCAAGAGGATAAAACGCGTATACATATACAAATGCATATTATATGTATATTTATGTATGTAACTAGGGTTCGAAATGGAGCGGATCTGGAATTGATTTGTACGTGTGAAATCCAAATGTAATCCATATAATTTAAACTGAATCAAATTAGATTAAAATATACTTAATCTGAATTTGAAAATTTTTTAGTTTGAATTCAACCAGTTAAAATGGACTTCGCATCGATTTTGATCTCAGATCAAACCATTGCATTTCAAGTATTATATGTGATGTATGTAACACACACACACACACACACACACACACACACATATATGTTTTTATTTTTCGTGACAGACACTTTTTTTTTTAAGTTAAGTAAGACACTCATAGACAGACACTCTTCTGTCTCACAATAAGTTTCAGTTTTCATTTTGGTATGCCCTATTTCTTTTTCTTTTCTTTTCTTTTTTTTTTTAAAAAAAAAAACAAAAAAAATTCGGCATGTTTGGTTCAGTTTTTTGACAATAATTTTTTATTTTTTGATAATTGAAAATTAAAAAACTTTATAAAACTGCTTGGTTGAAATTTTTTTTTCTTTCTAAAACTCAAAAAAAAAAAAACTCAAAAAAAAAAAAAAAAACATAGTTTCATAAAAATGTCTTTTGTGTTTCTCTTAAAATGATTTTTTTAATTCTTGATAATTATTTCTAAATGACAAACCAAGCATGCTTATATTCCTAAACTATGTTTTGAAAGTTTTCGAAATTGACAATTTATATCTTTAAACAAGAATGTTAGAGATTAATTGTTAGAGGGAAGAGAGAAAATTAGGGATTAATTGTTAGAGGGAAGAGAGAAAATGCAAAGTTCAAACATGGACTCCCCGAAAAAGAAACCCAACTACCGAGACAACACGGCACTTGCATTGACTTGCATTTGGTTAAATAACTTAGATTATGGAATATGTGGCTACTGAATTTTATGTTTTTTGCCACTATAATTATAGATAATTTAATGATATCATTTTAAAAATTAAATTGAATATACTTCATGGAAAAATAAAAACTATTTAATGCTTTTGCAGATTAATAAAAGGAGATCATATGACCATTTCCCAGTTCCAGGTCAATGGTATGAAATATGGTTTTGTGTTTTGGTTGGCTGACTTATAAGAAGTATGGTTTCATGTTTGGCCTTATATTTCAAAATTAAATTACTGATTATTTTATAATAATAAAAAGATAATATAATCATTTAGGAAGGTACAGTTTGTATGTGTAGAAATACTAGTAGGAAACACTGCGCATTTATACAGAGTATTATTTCGTAGTTCAAATAATAAAAGTATTTACGGAGTATGAGTTTAATATCCTCGACAACTATGGACCAAAAGTTGTGTAGTTTAATGATATCTCCTCTGTCATGAGAGTTTACGTCCCCGTTGACGGCCGAAGCCATGGACATGATGAAAATACCAAAGCTCAATTGAATAGTATCTCCTTAACACCTCTTGAAACAAGCATTCCTTCATATTTTCTTACAAACGAAGATACTAACAGGCAGTGAATGCCTTGCACCTTAAATTCAGTGTATCAACTGTGAGTAACCTATTAACTGTTACTTGAGAAAAAAAAGGCTCTCAGTCCAACAACAAAATCTCTCAAAAAGGACACGCTAACCGGTGATAATTTTTTCTCTTGAATTCAAAATGGACACTGACATTCTATTATTGTGTCACATCAATGGTGAGGAGAATCAAAATAATACGAGTGCCTAGCCCAAACTCAAAAAAAAATCAGTTAGTCAATTGGGTCCAAACTACCAATTTTCTGCACTTCCAGCAAATACCAAAAGTTCAAAAAGAAGTGATCAAAAGAAATGTGGACAGCAATAGTGTTTTGCTGTATCTGCAGAAAGAACATTAAAATTGAATTGGCAACATCTCTATAAATAGCATTATCTTTCTCCTGGTGTGAATTACATGCTCACGAAGCAAAGGAAGAGATTTTCATATATCTATCCTCACATCAAAAGTTAGCAATCCTATTCAACCTAAAGTTCACATTACTTTTCATTTCAATCAACATAAAAACCCAAATCACACACCCTTTATTACCAAGCTTCTCCCCCTTCAACCAAACCAGCGTCAGAAAGGTTTTTCCAGCTTTAAGATAAAAATTCTAACAAATACAAACTCGTATGAAAAACTTGCAGTGGGATCAATCCGAGCTTATAAGGACAAACAGCGGTTTGTCTCCTAACCGTTCCCGTCCCTACGATAAAGCACAAGTGTAAATCAACTATGGCTCAATGAAATAATACAGGAAAAGCCTACACTAGCTGAAGAGCAGCATAACATAGAGCGCCATTTTGACTCTTTGAAGAATAATAATAAAAATAAAATAATAAAATTGAACCCGTATAAAATTAGATGCAGTAAATAGTGCAGATCAGAACTCATAATCCAGTCCTGATATTCATGCAACCTTAATTGTATGAACACCAATTAAAATTCTGTTTTCTGATAATATGAACATTTGAGTCATTTGACATGCCTATGGTGAAATTTTTTCAGGGTTTTATGAGAAACGTCACATTTATTTTTCCACTTTTGAATAGAAACAAAATCCAAACATGTTTACTTGTCCTCCCCCCCCCCCCCCCCCCCCACCCCCCCAAAGATTTCTACAAAATATATATTTGTAATTCATCATTTACATTGGATGCATTCATCTATAGGACTATAAATTAGATCTTGATATAGTTGTACCCATTGACATTTACATTCAAATTGGCAGCCAATCTGACCACGCAGAGTGAAACATTTTGATAGGCTCAAATTCCCTTTCCTCAGATCATAGCAGGTTTAAGTTTCAAAAAGCAATTCTAAGAATATATATGGATAATTAATCTATTATAGAAAATTGAGCAGAAAGTTAGGCTATTTAAATATATTTTGCACAAAGCTCGTCAATTGACATTAGGTCCATACCTTCAGATCTGCCAATTCAATCACACAGGCACACTCGACTACTTGCACCCCAACACGCTCTGCAGAGAAAAAGTAACAATACGTGAAACTTCAATGGTACATATGAGAAGAGAGGGTATTCTTAAGCCATTTTAAATATGACAAAATCAACCATGCTTTTTCTTAGAATATATACTGTTAAGTGTAAGAAGCAGTCTAATAATACTTAATATTCCGTTGAAAATGCCTCAAACTTGAACATCCATATCTCACTCCACCAAAATTGAGAATACTATAAATAAGGAGATCAAAGGGAATGTCTTATTATGACCCCAAGGTAACCTAATCTTTGTCTGTAAAACCCTCCAACTAGCACATGAAATGGATCTAGTTTTACCCGAGATTTGACCCAAACCAAATTTTTTTTTACCAGGTTTGGTTTCTAGTTTAAATTTAAACTTTTAGAATATATCGATTATAAACCTCCTGTTGGAAATACGTCACAAATCCCAGTTGGGTTTGGATATGAGTAAGCGCATTAAATGAATCTGGTTTATACATCAAATACACTGCAAACCAAGTCCATTTTATTACATTAGGAATTGTTTAGATTACATGTGGATTATATGGGTCAAATATGTATTATGTCCATAAGAACTCACTTGGACTCAAATCTTGATATGCATCTTGACATTAAAAAAAATATGGATTCAATTGCCATGGATCTGCTCGATTTCATGCCCTACATCCAACAAATCCTGACACCTGCCTTTTACCTTTCAGCAAAGAAGGGAAAAAAGAAATTATGTGGGCATCTTTAACATAAGGATTCCCATTTCTCGTAAATGTAAAAGCCAACTGAACTTGAGCAACTTGTTCACCCCAACAATCCACCATTGGAGAAAAGGGACGGTGTGGGGTTTGAAAGAGTTAAAGGCAAGGTTATTTAGGGTAAAATACAAAAAGAGCCCTTGAACAATCACGATTTCAGGAAAAATCCCCCCAAACTATTAATTTGGTAAAAGAACCCTGACCAATTCAAATTGTCCCCCCTACCTTTATATTTCGGTAAAAAATGTAATGGAAGTTTGTCGTGTACATTGCATATAATATTGTGGCCTTTATGACCATTATCCCCCTCACCCAATTGTAACGCTCCAATATTATAAATAAATAAATAAAACTGAACTGTGAAGTTTCTGCAAATACCCTCGACAGTGGAAATAAAATGACAATAAATATGTTTACTAGCATTTAAGTAAAACAAAAAAACAAGGTTACTAGCATTAAGTAAATAGGAAATTAAGTATTAACCCAGTACCAAGTAGTCGGATAGCAGCACACAAGGTCCCCCCAGTTGCAATGAGATCATCAATTACCAGGGCACGTTCTCCTGCTTGTACAGCCCCAACATGCATCTCTATTTTGTCTGTTCCATACTCCAAAGAATACTCTTCCGAGATAACCTCCCCTGTAAAATCCATCTTCTAATCACTAAAAATTCAAAAGATTTTAAGCAAGCAGCACCTAAATAATTTATCCATATGTACACTAACTAAATAAATGTGACAGAAATTGCACCAATGGTTGGGAAATACTATAATCGCATCAGGGCCACTTGGCAAACACCTTGTGCAAAAAGCTTTTCCACAAAGAATGACAGTGACAAGATACTATAACCGCATCCTAAGATATAACTGGGCGTGCCCGTCAAATGAGGTACAGTGGCAGTGCACTGTTCTACATATACATAAGATTTTGTTAAACTTTTCAATTGTGTCAGCTCAAAAGCAGTGGTTCAAAAAACTATTATTGATGCCAATCTATGCCTTCAAAGTCAATTTAAATCACCTCTTCATTTCAAATATCAACACAGTATTCTTCAACTAGAGTACATATTAAGTAGATCTCAATCACGCATGATATGATGCAACAAAAGCAGTAAAGTTGAGGTTGCTGAGTTGGACAAGTACAGGTGGCATCTGTCATTCAACCAATCAATTTTATTTGAACAAATTAAGAGTTACTGAAGAGTAGCCCCATTAGAAGAAAATTTTACTTGGATTCTTTCATGATAATAAGATAGATTTGAACTCCAAAAAGGATATAAACTTGAATTTTCGCAAATGGTAAAACGACTATATCTACATAAACATCAAAACTTAGGACTAAATGTCGCAACTGAATGAATCTACAATAAAAGTTAGACACCTTCCAGCAAGGAACTATTAGAGAAACATCTTTAAAGATTATAATAGGAGGCAAGATAATGCAATTACACATAAGTAAGCTGTAATAGAATTGTCATGATGAGATCTACAACATCAACAAGCAGATGTGATACAGCAGCAAAAAATCCAGATTCACCTACTGTTGTTGTAAATGGTATCAAAGCTTAAAAAAGACCTATGCCTAAAAACTTCAAAAAGAATGATTGTTATTTGGTTATAATTCTAGAATATTCAAATAAAATGAGATAAACAATATAACATTTAAAAAAAAAAAAAATTATCAGCAATAAAATAAATCCTTAAAATTTCAATATATATTTTGACCCAGAATATTTAACTAATAAAAGAAATGATTTTGGAAGAATATACTTTTGAGGTTGAAGTTGAACCACTTAAAGATGGTAATAATTTTCTTGTAGAGTATTAACTCAATTTTCGGAGATCATTATTATCTTTAAAATCTGCTTGCACATCATTAGTATCTAAGATCTTCACCTCTTGTTTCAGGTGCCTGAAACCTGTTCCCTTAATGCCTAAAACACCAACTATCAAAGGACTTGGCTCAACAATATATGGGCTTAGGAACAGTGACACGCATAATACAATCTATATGATAAGCTTATAATCGCCTAATGAAGTTATACTTGATATATATTGAGAAGAAATATTACAAATAGACTATTTTATGCAAATTATGGAACAAATTGCAGATGTAGAATATTAGCAAATAATGAACCCTTTCAATACCAGTGCAACTTATTTTAATGATTTTTCTTTTCTTTTTGAACAGATTGCATCCCTGTAGCTACTGATGAAGAATTCTCGGCTGTGCCCAAGACTTCATTTAAAAAGAAAAGTACGCAGATTGTGCATAAAAAGCAAAAGATGAGTGAAAAAAAGATTACCAGGCAACTTTTTGGGTTTTCTCATGGGAACAAATTTTGCTCCAATAGCCAATGCAATTGGAGGGCCAAATATAAAACCTCTTGCTTCTATACCTGCATCATGTCGTCTATATCAAAATACAGTACATTGTTACAACTAGATATATAAGTACAAGCAAAATTATAACTAATAGATGAATAAATCTAAATACAGTTTCAAACAGTCACATGACAGAATCCTAAATACCCAATTTCTTAATATTTTAACATGGTGAATTTTAGGTGGCTTGAAACTGAGCTGGTTGAGAGAAAAAATAAATAATTTACTAAATAAAAAGAAGAAGAAAAAGAAGCTGAAGTGTCTTCAGTTAACTTTATAGATGGTGCACAGTTAAGTTGCCAGAAGAACTTATTCTGTATACCAAATCTTACATGGTGTGGGCGAGCAACCAAACCTTGGTGGTTTTCTCTCCCCACGAAGAAAGCTCATCTAAGGCAACAAAGGGACTTCTCTCAACCTTTTTCTTCTTACTTAATTGATCGTAAAATTGAATCTTATACGACTTGGTAGGCACCCAAATCATGAAATTTATTTCCCCACAGAAAAAGCACCTGCAGTGAAACAAAATTAAATTCTGCCTACCTTGTTCTTTTGTTTAACAGGTGAGAGAGGTGTTCAAGATCAATTGAAGAATTGGACCCAGATCTATGGTATGGACTCCAATAAGCTATACCAACTATCCTAGCAGGGGCACATTGAAAACAAACATAGAAATGGTTTCTCAATGAATTAACTCATACAGGCCATTTTTCTCATCCAAATTCTCAGTCGAAGAAATTATTTCTAAATGTGTGCATAATCCTTCCAGAAGATCCACAGTCCAGATATTCTTAGTTTCATTCATTTTACAGTAGCTAAGGGCATTCCAATAGTATGTCTATTTGTAATGTCTAAATTTTCTAGGTTCTTAAATCAAAGCAGTAGTAGTACCATATTTCTTCCAGAAAGGCCATCTTTTATCATTTGTGTTATCCCGTTGTATGGGATGAAGGCAAGAATGATGACGATGATAATGACGAAGTTTGGCGGCATCAATTAATACGTCTCACATCTGCTCTTCACATGACTTTTCCTTTAATAGGCAAAGTTAAAAATAGTTGCTCTTCACAAATAATATGATTTAATTGTGACTCAACTAAGGATCATTGTTTGGTCCAGAGGTAAAAACTTGACGGTCAAGTGTCAGAACACAGGTTTGAAACAGGCTTGGCACTTGTGCAAATAATGCAGAATGTTAGTTTTTACCCAACCACCTATCCTGGCTCCCTTAACTAATGGGGACAAGATTGTGTAAGGCCTTTCTTTATGTAAATTAAATAAACCCAGTACTAGCAAGGATAATCACTACTATGCAAATTTTTGGATCTTATTCTCCATAACACTAGTTAGATTTTCCATTCAAGCTAGAAATCTTCAACCAAATACCTTTTTGCATCAAGACAATGTAATCTACAGTAATTGATGGAGAATAGATATCTAATTAGGCATTTAATCATGATCATGGGAAAAAATTACCTAACCAAACGGGTGTGAGGTTTTACGTACAAAATATGTCTTTGTTCAATGTACAAGATGTGTATTTTCCGAAAGACAATGGAACAGCTCTTTTTGGCATTAATGTGAATGTTATGTAACTTGTTATAAGTACTCATTCTAAGCATTAAAAAATAAGCTAATGTTTTGTGAATTATTATGTAAAAGTACGTGGCCCTAATCTTGTGAGTGGAATATTATTTACTTGTAAGTTGCTTTATATATCTAAAGGAAAGCTGACCTCAACAAGATGTTCATTAGAGAACCAATTTGCAGAGTTATTCACACATTTTTTGTTGCATATCTTGGTCAGTAAAGTTGGTGTACCTCAAGAGGGATATCTTGGTTAGGGTTGTAAATGAACCGAGTTGAGCCAAACTTCAGTCTGTTAGGTCACAGCTTGTTCATTTGTTAGTTTAGCTCGGGCACAATTTGCAACCATGATGAGTTCAAAAGGGTAAGCTTGGGCTCGGCTCGGCAATATATTGAAAAGTTTGGATTTGGCTCGGCTCGACTTATTTAATAAGAGAAGTCAATCCTGATATCATATTCGTATTCAGGCTAAGTTTGAGCTCGTCTTCAAGATAGCTTTGACTCATTATGAACTTATATGAACCTACACAAGCCTATACTCATGAACCTGCACAAGCCTATGTATATGAACGTGTTCATGAGCCTACAAGAGCTTTGCATTCACGAATCTACACTAACCCTGCCTAACAATCTTCGAGATTGGCTCATTTGCTAAACGAGCTCAAAAATCAAGTTCGAGCTCAGCTCATTTACCTAATGAACAAGCTCAAACAAAGCTTTAAATGAGTCAGTCATCAGCTGTTCACGTCCAGCTTGATTCATTTGCAGCCCTAATCTTGGAATAAGGAAAGGCTAAAGCACTCATATATGTGCAAGGAAATGGGTATATATACACATAGAGACAAATGATCAATTGAAATACTATTGCGCAGTAGTAAGGAAATGGGTATCCTTGGACTTAATACAATCCCCATCATGAATGAGGCACTAAAAGGAGGATCGTGGAATTTAAAGTTGTATCCTCTGCAAGCATATTGTTCATCATATTTTTTTAAAAACAGAGTAAAGTTGACTTTTATTCAACAAAGCACCACAATTATATTTCAATATCAATAATCGTGTGGAAAATCCCTCTACATCATTATTTTCAAACGTAGAATCCAGTGCAATGGAAAATAATGCAACAATTAGATATTTATTGACATTAGACTTTGAAATGGTGAGCCCTTCTGTTTGCAATAGAAGTTGCCGGCCGGGACATTGAATTGCTATGGAACCTTGGTGAAAATTTATAGGTTGAGAGTTCATGGGGAGGGAGGAATGGGTACAACTTATCAATTCAATTCATGTACACCATGTGCTGAAAAAAAGGCAGTAGTAAAGTAGCAAACTGCCGAAAATCTTGACTATTGCTATCACCAATAATGTAGTCTCAAGAAATATATTTTGGAGAATAGAAGCATGCAGAGGAGAAAGGTAATCTCAGTCAAGTATGGAAGCATGAGTTGGGTAGAAAGCAAGGACTATGAGGCATGCGTTATCAGTGCTATATCCATCGAACCCAATTATGTAGATTGTGGAATACGTGTAGCTTAGTATAAGGCAAGCATCACCAAATCTTTCCCCTATGGCTCTGGACAATAATGCAGCAGTTACAGACTATTAAAGCCTTTGATGAAGTATGATCTGTTATCTTCTATAACAGTGTAAAAAATTAGAAAACTGAACCATTGGGTTCTTATCGTAACAGCATTTTAAAGATTATATAGAAAAGACAACTCTGATTCAGTAATGAGAGTCTTTTCTGTGAGAGTGGCAAATCCAGTGGTAAGCCTTCCACTTAGTTACATGTAAAAGTAAGAAACATGAGGAAATTGAGATAGTGGTGAAAGTAAATGAATACTCCTACAAACATACATTTCTAAGGAAAATTCTGTTCAAGCCGATAAGCTTGAATAGCAACGTCTATTTCTAACAAGTAATGATTATGCAGATTTCCAAGCAAGCAATGGATCCAGCCATCAACTTTTTATACAGACAACCCCTCTACACGGAATTCCAAAGTCAAAAACTCATCCTCTAGAAGAAGAATTTTCAGAAACACTTCTTCTATTGAGCCTATTCCCCTATAACCTCCTCTACTTTTCAAAATTGTTGTGTAAATAAACAACATTCAAAACGTTTGGTCTGAATGTTTTATTAATTCACGGTGTTATATATATATATATAGACATTCAGAAACATTTTAACACCTGCCAGTACACAGTACAGTAGTCTACAATCATCATCTCCAAATAGATTATAAGTCAACTTTTATGTGCTTCTGTGATTTGTGTGTGTGAGAGAGAGAGATTTACCAGCAACAACAGAGATATCTTTGCCTTTGTACCGCTCGACAAACAAATCAATAGTGTCCTTGAAGGCCTTTGGATCAAGAAGCAACGTCGTTATATCCTGAAATTGAATCCCTAACAAAGACCATCCAACACAAAATCAACACATACATATATATATATATAACACACATATATATACAACTGTGTGTATATATGACAGTTGAAATGCTCACCAGGTTTAGGAAAATTAGGGATGATACGAATCGCAGACGAAATTCTGGCGATGCGTTCGTCTTTGGCATCCCGATCAGAGGCCATCTGAGAGAAGCTCGGTTGATCTTGCGCAGAGATCGGTCGGTGTCTAGTAGCGACTGGGTTGGGCAATTTTACCGTGACCGAATTGCCACTAGTTAAAGATCTTTGCTTTTTTCCTGTGACGATATTAACCCTAGGGATTTTGAAGACCAGATCTCCAGTCAGTGCGTTCATGGCTGGGTTTGTCCGACGAATGGAGGGAGTTAAATGACAATTGAAGCAAGTAGTTTGGTACCTTTTGAATGGACAAATGATGAGTGCACGACTATAATGGACCAATTAATTACCTTTCAAGGAAAAAAAAAATGGACCGTTGAAAAAGAATAATGCTAAATGCAGTCAATAACGGATCTAAAGAGTGGGGATTTTCTTTTTTAGTACAGTAGTTGTAATTTTTCTTATTTTCAGTTATATATCTTTAAAATTTTATTATTGTCCTCTGAAATTATAAAAAGAATTCACTTTTGATCCCTCACTCAATATCCTAAGTTGGTCCCTACAGTCAACTGTATAAATACCTATTTGGATCATAATTGTTTTTTCTGTTTTTCAGTAATTATAAATAATAATACAGTATATATATATATATATATATATATATATATATATAGGGCAAAAATGTTAGATTATAAGTGAGAGGTACAGGTTATTTCTTGGTTTTGCCTTGTCATTAATAACTTGATTATTTTTAGATAATAGTAGATAAAACAACGCTGATAAGGAGTCTTATTGAAACCAAAAAATATAGATCTGTCTGCCATCCACATCGTAATAAATAGAGTTTTACGAAAAAACTTGCAAGTGAAGAAAAACTTCTTAGGGATAAGAGACATAGGGCTAAAGAGAGAGCCAAAAATGGATCTTTCGTGTATAATCCTGCATAATCTCGAATTTTATCAGTTCTGGTATGTAGACCAAATAATACAATGCAAGCAAAAGTTAAAGTCGGGCTCCCTAGGACAAGTGGAGCAACTCAACCGTTGTGCTACAAAGGTGGAGGTGTTTGTCAGCACAAACATTTATTTAGTTTTTAAGATAATTTAAAGTTCAAATATCTTGTTCAACTATGTGTAAGAAAATTTATCTACACTTTGCTTTTTTCTTATTTCTAGTTTCTTAAATTAATATTACTAATATCAACCACATAGTTAAAATATAAAGTAATTCCAAAATAATAATAATAATAAGAGCTCATTTCAGGTCTCTCTCTCTTTTCCACTCATCTCTCTACTCTCTCCCTGGTCAGTTTTTTTTGTTCCCTCCTTTTAGTTGACCAGCTTTTTTTTTCTTTTTTCTTTTTTTTTACCCTAGCAAACAAAAGAGTCAAATGGCACTTACAAAGATAAAACCATAAAACATATAAACTGTCCACCATCAAAGATCCAACAACTAAGTTGTGGACTAAGAATACTGAAAAAAGACGTATTCCCCACGTTGATGGAACAAGACCATCATAAATGTTGACTTTTGAGAAACCGTCTGACCACCCTTGATCCACATCAGATGTAATAAACCCCACTTTTCTAGGGGCAGCCGTGGCGGACATTTTCTTCATCTTCAACCAAATAAAGAATAACATAGGTGTTGACATATAAGTCACAATTGGACCCCACAGAGTACAACACAATGTTTGATGATGACATTGGCCATACAAACGCTTGACGGAAGATATGGAGAAGAAACTGGGGAAACACCATCCCTAGAATTTTACAAGAAATCCTAATCTATCGCCAAGAAGTCTACCGCACCATATATTGCTCAGCCTGACAACAATTTCGGCAATACCCAACCATGACCCATAGTCAGGAGCGGCCGGAGAAAACTCAGCATTGGCCGGAGCAACAAGACGGAGAAGCAAATCGGCGACAAAAAATCGACCAACGCACATAAGCCCGATAAGGGCTGCAAAAGGATGATATGAAGATTCCGGGACCCAAAACAAAGCAAAGAAAACACCATAAGAACTTGAAACGTCCTTCACCCAAAGCAGACACACCAGATGACAAAAGCCCACAACACCCTCCGTGGCCACAAACATAAGTGTATCACTTACAAATGATTTTCCCACCATGGAGACCCAGTGATGGAGGAAGGAAAAGGCAATCAAGCATAACAAGGATGCCCTAAAACAACACAGAGAAAACATTAGTATAAAAAGAAAAATCAAGAGAACCAACACATGTACCTGGATCAAAAGGAAAGAGCAATGAATATAAAGCCAGATTCCGTCCGCCAGTCAAACCATTCAATCCGACACTTCGCAACACCTAGGAACTCATCTACCCCACCCTTTCACAGTAACTTCGGACTCTCTGCCGCACATATAGCCCGCACATAAATCTCCATGTTGAAACGTCTAGAGAACGCAACAATCGCTTCACTTCCCCCTATTAGAAACCAACATCACTGGCAAAAAAATCCGTACCGTAAGCTAATCCACTGCCCGCTGCAACCCACGCCAATGCGACAGACTTCCAACACCGACCAATTCAGCTTAAAACCCAATAGGCCATTTGGATACCAGAGCAACTCACCGCCGGCCAACAAATCATCTCGCCTTGTCACCTAAAGACAACCACAACCCAACAAACACATACTAAAACCATATAACAGCCAAATCCCCAAAACTTGAAGATCCCACACACCAAACGATCCTCTAAAGCAAGGTTGAAAAGAGATTCAAACACCATCGGCCAACCACGCACAAAATCACATAACATTGGACCCTACAACGCACACCCAACTACCCAAGAACAACCGGCCTCATGATTAGCCACGTTCGGAGGAGCTGATCTCGCAAACTAAATTATTGGGCATTATAGACTTTACTCCTTTAGAATGGACTTGATAAAAAAATTTTAAATCAAGTTTATAATTTTTTTATTCACGGTATGGAATTAGTTTTTGTGTGTTCAGTGATCTATTGAGACTGCACACCAAAAAATAAGAATTATGTGAATCTCGGTAACATATTTTCAACCATAAGAAAAACTATTAGCTAAATTATGGTAAATTGAGAAGTTCCTTTGTTGGCAAGAGAGACGTGAAGTAAGCTACTTCTTCTTCTTATTATTATTTTTTATTTATTTATTTTAACATATAATAGTCACTATAAAAAATGTGGATCAATTCTCTTACTCATCATTGAGCAAGAGATCGAAACTTCAATCTCTTATACTTCTTTGAGAATTGTTTTTTTGAAAAACTTAACCAAAACAAGCATAAAAATAAAAGTGGTGTGTATATTATTTGTTGCGACTCGTGACTAATATATATATATATATATGATGTGTATTCTACCTTTACAATTTTTCTCAAATTTTGTAATGACCCTATCGTTTTCCTTCTTTTCATTTTTCTCAAATTTAACGGATAATTTTTTTCCGTTGAATTTTATTTCCTGAGTTTGATTACTCATCACTAGTTTTGTCTCGAGTACTTGGAAATAGTTTCTGAGACTTTTTCCTTTGAATTGACAATTTCTTTTAAGTACCGAGTCATTTCCACATTTCATTTTTTGGATACTATTCACTTTTCGTCCTTTCCCCGTTTGTCACTTTGTTGGCACAACCTCACTTTCCGTGTTCGGAGTTGAGTTTTTACATCACGAGTTTTCATTCTAGTTGACTTCCTCGAAACGCGTAGCTTTACTTTTTGAGAAAAGGTCGCTGGTTGTTTCTTTCTCCTATAGGGGCGTGGATGAAAGGATTCTTTAGAAACATTGATGATTCTTGGGGTATTTTTTGTAAATATCTTTTGGAGATATTTATTTTAGAGGTTTTTAAGAAAATATTTTTTAGAAGATATTTTCATTCTGGGCAGTTTTGCAGTTATTCTTTCTTAGAAGGGCCATTTGCAATTAACGAAAGTTATTGCAAAGTGCCTCATTTTGAGCCTGGATCTTAGTACGGGATTCATTTTCACATTTCGTCTAGTCGAGAATTCTTAGAATTTCCTTCGGGTCATTTTTCCCAGTTTTAGGGTTTTCGGCCCCGGTTAGCGTCGAACTTGTTCAGGACATATCTTCCTGCACGGGACTCAGTTTTTTACGCCGTTTCTTCCGTTATTCATTTTTTCTCATTTCGGTTCTTTTTTGTTTACAGTTCTTTTTTGTTTACAGTATTTTACCGTTTGAGGACGTCTGCGCAGATTCCACTTTTCCGGACCTGGCGGGACCTGTTTGGGGCACTTTTAGGGTTTTTGTATAAATAAGGGGAGTCATATGAAAAAATGTCCTTCCTTGGCTGGCCATCCATGGCAGCCATGGTTGCCACTCTTCTTCTTTCATTTCAGCCTTCTTCCCTGTGATACCCCCCGAATTTCCGAATGCGGGTTGGCCAGGCCCACGCCCGAATACCGGAGGATATCAAAACAAATTGATAATAAGCGAACACAGAGTACAAAAGAATAAAGAAGAATAAATAAAATGCTGACAAGAAACTAAAATGATAATCTAATAATAAACCTCATAATATATTTCCATTAATTAATAAACTCTTCTGATACAACTGATTCTCCAAAATACAACTCGGGAATCCATATTGTGTGGACCCCTAGAAAATCCAAACTAAACAAATGACAGTAATCTAAAACAGGAAACTGAATTATAAAGGAACTCCTATGTAGCATCGGAAGAATGAAGTAGACTGATCTCCGCTCAGCACGAACAACCTCTACTCGTGATGAACACCTGAAAAATAATGGTGGGTCAGGCCCACAAACAAGTTCTACTCTACTACAGTCCAAGCAGAGATCCGATACACGTATACATCCTAGTTAATCCAACAGTAACTAGTAGTCCGTATATATATATATACACACTAAAGGAACCTCACTAGACTATATGGTTGTCTCAACTTGAATAGTAGGCAACATGCAAAACGCACATATAGTGGGCATGAGTACCTAGACCTACCAGGGTACACAACTACATTATATCTAGCTACACATCCCTGGCGATATACGCGCCCTAACCATTGATCCTGAGACTCAAACTCATATCATGGCACCATACTTATATATATATAATCTAGTAACCATCCTATCCAGTATAAATTAATCTTCCATAAGTCATTCAACTTGTTCAGCTGACCTGACTTGAATATAAGTAGGACTTAACATTTTAGTTAATCCATTCCCTTATATAATAAATTAATCCTCCATAAGTCATTCAACTTGTTCAGCTGACCTGACTTAAATATAAGTAGGACTTAACATTTTAGTTAA